AATTTCAATCAACTAACCCTAAATATTTCCAGGCTGCAAAAGTTGTTGTCGCGTTGTATATTAGAAGCACATTTTCTCATCTTCTGCAAGACATCTCCGGTTAGTTCTATGACTTGTATTCAGAAAGCTTCTGATATCAAGTTTCAGCTTGAAGTTTAAAATAGTTACTCCACGACTCTGGGAGAATCAATCTTAGTTTGTTGGTTTGCTCCAAAGGGAATGCTTGTTTTTTAAAATGATAAAAAACAAAATGCTATAAATTATGCTGTCGCTAATCTTCACTTGTCAAGATAGCTTCCTATTATATATTCTCATGATTTTACCTGCTGGAAAAGTTTTAGAAAGTTGACTTCACAAATGTACTCTGAGATGGCTTCTGTTTGGTAGATTCCCTGTTTCAAATCCTGAAAAAGGATGGAGCGGAGAAGTACTCTCTTGATGTTGTTCTTGATTCTAGCACAAAAGCAGTTCTCCAAGGAGGCACAAATGTCTTGCTGGTAAGCATGTTTATATGCTTAGATTCATCTATGTAAGGTTTTATGCAATTATGTATGCATGTACATGCATGAAATATCATTATTAAGATTTTCTTTGTTTCTGTTTTCTTTTGTTTCGTTTACATTTAATCTCTCTCCTTCAGGACTTCCGTAAAATTTTAGATGATGACTCTGGGATCCTAGTTAGACTAAGAGAGTTAATCATTGATTGGGTTCAAGAAGGACTTCAAGACTTTTTTAGGCAACTTGAGGATCAGTTCACTCTGTTTGCAGGAAGAAATAATTCAGCTATTCAAGTACAAGGGTTGGCAGAGGGAGCTCAAGGTGACAAAGCTTTTGCTGGCCTTGTCCTAGTGCTGGCACAATTGTCTGCTTTCATTGAACAAACTGTCATCCCAAAAATCACCGAGGCAAGGGTCCACTTGATAGACTTATATTGATTCCTGAAATATCAATTTCTGTGGTCAGTTTTCCTTCTGTATCATCTGTGCATACCTTAAAAGTTTTCCTTGTAATCTTCAGGAAATAGCTGCTTCTTTTTCTGGTGGTAGTGTTAGAGGCTATGAATCTGGACCTGCCTTTGTTCCTGGAGAAAGCTGTCGAAGATTTCGGTCAGCTGGTGAAAAATTCCTGCACCTGGTATGTTTCTTAGTTAATATTTTCTTTTCAATGGAATTGAAGTTTGTATGGCACACCGTCTGTATATTGTCCTTGTCTGTATATCCCTCGCTGATTCTTATTCACCTATTCCTTAGGTAATGCCTAATGCCTGCTTTGTGTTTTTCAACTTCATTTTAATGTTTTCCCAGATAATATTTACGTTTCCTAGGAAAAGGTTTTCAATTTGGATAGCCATTCAGGCTTTTGGGCAGTGTCTGTTTGTGCATGAATTACCATCCCATTCGAAACATGTGATAATGTTTGACAAAGCTTTCACTCATTAAATGGTGTAGTTGTTACACTGTATTGTCTGCATCCTCTAATGGAGTTACTACTTTATCTGCCTGTTTATTTTTACACTCTCTGTTGGTTGCTTTTACCTGGAGCAATTTGTTGAGCTTTTGGAGAATGTTTGCACACCCTGAGTTTGGGGTAGTTCTTAATGATTTCTTCAGTGGCTTTGATTGGAATAAGTGGTGGAAGGTTTTTTATCCTATGGAATTTGTGCTATGATATGGTGCTTTTGGTTGTAAAATGCCATGTTTTTTAGAATATTTTGTTGTCCCTAGGACAAAATAGTTCAAACGGCTTCACTTTTATGTTCTGGGATGATTTCTTTTGAGGAATGTCTGATTTGCAAAGGAACTAGTAGCTTCTCTTCATCTTTTATTTTTGGTAGTACTCTTTTTTGAGTGATTTGGTTTTGGAGGGTATTTAGTCTCCCTTTTACTTGTATTAAGAATCTTGAGTGCTTTACTTCACCTTTTTTTAGTGCTCTCTTTATGTTTTCATTATTAGAAAAATTCTTCAAATTAAGCAGCATTTACATAAACTGTTCAATTCTTTTCAGTACGTGAATTTGAAAACTCAGAGGGCATCACTTCTCCTGAAGAAAAGGTTTACCACACCTAATTGGGTCAAGGTCAGTCATCTGCCCCTTTTACAAACATGAAAGACTAGTTATTAGTTATCTTAAAGAGCCTACATCTGAAGTTTTTTCTTTGCTTTTCACAGCATAAGGAGCCAAGAGAAGTTCATATGTTTGTTGATTTATTTCTTCAAGAGGTTGGTGTATCTGTATTTTTAAATCAATCTCTGTTTTCTCTGTCTGTTAAGTTGCTTGAATGGTTTAAGCATTGTAATTGTTTAGGATATAATGAATGAACATGAAGCTTGATAGTTGATATCTCTATTCAATGGGCATATATATTGTAATTAATTGAAGCAAAGTGGAGGAAAATTTTAATATCTCTTTTTTTTGTTCCAGCTTGAAGTTATCATTAACGAAGTGAAGCAGATTTTGCCTCAAGGTAGACGTAAGCATCACAGGACTGATAGTAATGGAAGTAGTGCTTCATCAAGGAGCAACCCTTTAAGGGAGGAGAAACTGGGTAGGTCAAATACTCAGAGGGCTAGGAGCCAGCTTTTGGAAACACATCTAGCAAAACTGTTTAAGCAAAAAGTTGAAATTTTCACAAAAGTAGAATATACACAGGTATTGGGTGATTATTATTTGGTAATTTAAATTTAAATAATTGGTTGCGAGCTACAATATCATTTTTGCTTATGAACTGCAGGAGTCTGTCGTTACAACTTTAGTTAAATTGTGCCTTAAAAGTTTGCAAGAATTTGTCCGACTTCAGACTTTTAACCGAAGTGGATTCCAGCAAATTCAGTTGGATATCCAGTTCTTAAGAACCCCATTAAGGGAAATAGTTGAAGATGAAGCTGCAATCGACTTCTTGCTAGATGAGGTTGGAAAATAGTCTTAATTTTTATTATAATTTTCTAAAGTGGTGTCATACATTTTCTCCCATGAAAATATTTACTCATAATTTTACTTTTTATTTTGTTGTAAACTCATCCGCTATGTATCTACTGTACATATTTGATTTTTGTGCTTTTGGGCACAGGTGATTGTTGCTACTGCTGAGAGGTGTCTTGATCCAATTCCACTGGAGCCTCCCATATTGGACAAACTTATACAAGCAAAGTTGGCTAAAACCAAGGAACAAAATACAATCTCGTCATAAACATTTTGTGAAATATGTGTGTCATCTCTCGTAGAATTAGTTATGGTTTTGGCCGTTGAAGCGTCACTTGGTTTCTGTTCTGTTCATTTTGTAAATCTTGTAACACATGTCACATTGCTCTGTTGTTATTTGTGGAAATACTTGTTAGAAAGTGAAAAAAAAAAATGAGAGAGGAGAGAGAAGCTAGAAAGAAATGGAGCTGAAAAGTGTCTTTGTCTCTATTGTCTCTAATATAAACTAAGTTTGAGCTCGTTGGGCTAGCAGATGTATATTAACACTTCTGAGACATGAGATTGCATCCAACACGAACGCAATTTCCAGAGGTAGAATTCCTATTAGATGGGGACCCAACCCGATCAACATTTGAATAACTAACTACTTGAGTGTGATCTTTATTTTCGTATAACAAGTCTTGACTAGGAGTCTTCTTCACATACCTTAAAATTCGAATGGTTGCATCCAAATGACTATCACATGACGATTGAAGAAACATGCCACTACAAAAAGCAAATGAAATATTTGGTCGGGTTATGATAAAATAATTCAACTTAACCACCAGTCTTCAATACTTTTTAGGATTAATAAGAGGCTCTTCCAATCCTGAAAGAAACTTAAACTTGGGATCCATAGGAGTGTATTGATTTGCAGTCCAACCGTGCCACAATTAGATTGAGAAAATTTACTACCTAAGATTATTTTAGAGAACCCTAGTCCTCGGTTTGGAAGTCAGGGACTAAGTGTTATTGTAAATTTAATGCCATCCTATACATCTCAAGTAATGATAATGTCATTAACATATATGTTTTGGATATTATCCTAAGAACATGTTTGTGAAAAATAGTACGGTTAGATTCCCTTCAAACCATTTCAAATTGTTGAATAATATTACTAAAACTTCAAATCAAGCAAGAGGAGACTGCTTTGAGCCATAAATAGAGCAACCAAGTTTGCAAACACGATTAGACCCCCGAGCAATAATGTATGCATAAATTAGTTTTATTATATATTATTTAATAAAAATAATGATAAATTTTAAATATTTTTTATGTATCTGATACTTATTTTAATATAAAGTATATAGCTTTTCAAAGTTTAAAGTTGTTTTTTACTGATTTAGATATAAAGTTATTGCTATTGTATTAGTAAAATAAATAAAATTATCAATGATTGATTGTTAAAGTAAAATGTTACTCTACATTAATTTTTAGAACTTTGTTTATATTTTTGAAAAGGTATAATTTGAGCAAAAAAGAATAAGAAGTGAAGGGAAAAAGGTTAATAATAAATTTAATAAACGATAGGTCAAATGAAAAAAAATATAAACTAAAATATATAAAAAATAAAAATGATAAACATTTTAGATAATAGTTTTGAAACTTTAAGAAGCATTAATCATGTAACTAAAATGTATGTAAGTTATTGATAAATGGTAAAATCAAAATTCACATACTAAAGTTGAAATTTAAACGACAGAGTTAAAATAAGATTAATTTTTTTATATATTATATTAAATTATTTGTATAAAATAAAATAAAACAAACAACATTTACTTACATTCGTTAGATAGCGAAGGGCATTGCAAAGGACAGTTAGGGGTATATTTATCATTTCACACAAAATATTCCCGAGTATCGAATCTAATCTAGACCTAGTCCTGCTCGAAACGCGAGATTCTTTTTTCACCCTTGAAGTATTTTTTTGCAAAATACAACAAATTTATTTAATTTTATTTTTCTACCATGGTTGAATGTATTTTATTGAAATAAAAATAAATTTATAAAATCCTTATAATTTTATGCAATAAATCTCTTGAATTTAATCCCCTCTCCCTTGCCGGCTCCGTCGCGGGCACCCAGGAAACACCGCAAAATTCTGACTCGTCCGTCCGTAACAAGACAAGAGCCCCAATTGCAAAAAGGATAATTATCAATTATCAATTATTTTTTTTCCTTTTTCTATTTTTCCATACAACTTGAAACCTAATTAACCACTTCCCTGACCTTCCAAACCATCCTAACATAACAAGGTCAGTCTTTGAAACCCGTTAATTTTTTTTTTTGCAATTCTTCGATTTGCGTTTTCGGCAATTGGATTCGATTCGATTTCCTTGCCCTAACCTAAACCCTTTCCCGAACAGTGCTCATTGCACCTTAACAAGAGCTTCGGGTCTATCCTCAATCTTCATGCGGCTTTTCCAAGGCTTTGAGGTGCAACTCTTCTTTGTAGCTGCAACTTCAACCGTTTTCGAGGTCTTCCTCTAATGCCCCATTCTCCTTGTTCATTTATTTTTGTTTTATTCACTTAACTGTTTCGGTTTGTTTTATTCACTCTGCACAAACTCCAAAGTTGGTCGTTTTGCAACTTGCGATTGGCATTTAAATCTTGCTTGCACTAAATGCTCAAATTGGGACTGAGCTAACCTTGCTTAGGTTTTGCTTGCCTGAATCAATTAATATCTATGGAAATGCGTGTGGGAGCACCAAAAGAATGAAAATTGTTTTGAATTTCATGAATTGAAGTTGATAATGGATGATATTGTTAGTATAAAGTTTGTGCTTTTGATGTATGATATGATGGTGTCGTAATGCACACTAAATCTCGCCGTTTTTCAGGGATTGGTTTTGGAATTTGTAGCATAACATAATTGGGCATTTTAAAACCTGTGGGTGGTTGTTTTGTTTTAGGGCGTTTCCCGAACATGGATTCGCGGAAATGCAAAGCTTCTGCCCGGGCATCTTCGCAGAGTGTTGCACCTCCTTTAGGTGTTTCAAATCAGGTGGATGAGATGGTTCCTTCCCTAAGGGATATGGGAGCTGTTGTGGCTGATGTGGATATAGACCTCAGGGAACTTTACTTTTTAATCATGCACTTTTTGTCTGCGGGGCCATGCCGGAAGACTTTTCAACATTTCAAGGAGGAACTTTTAGAGCATCGGCTTCTACCTAGAAGATATCATGCTTGGTTTTCGAGAACTGGTGAGCGCAGCGAGGAGGATGATGATGAAGACGATGATGGCATCTCTTTGCCTTTAGATTACAACAATTTAGCGGACAGGTATTTTTGCTTTATATGTGCCTTATGATTTGATCTTGTACAAATGATCTAGGAAAAAGATTGAGATGGGATGCTTGATGGTTTTATTGCCATTTTATTACTACAAGTAAGGTTGGGGTTTTAGGAATAACTTTTCCATATTTTACTTTATTTATGAGGTCACTGTTGTCAGAAATTTTCTGTTAAATGTGATTATATTTTATGTTGAAAGATGATAGACATTTAATATGTTTGTATTAAAACTTTTTTTAAATGCTAGCAGAAATATGTATTAAATCAGCCTGGACTCTTTTTTTTCCTTTCTAATTTTTTTATTGTACTGGCTGTCTCATAGTGTTCCAATGCATTAAATTTTAGCTAATTATTCCCTTTTTTTCAAATATGTTGCTTAAGATTATACACTGGGATTAAAAAGGTTTTTATAAAGCCTCAACTACAAAGGAGAAAAAAATATGTATTTTCAGTTGACTAAGCTACCTTTCATTAACATTACTCAAAATGTTATCACTCAATGCTATCTCTTCATTCTCTTTAGTGGAGATACCAAAAGACTGGATAAAGTTGGAAAAACATCATTAATACTTTATTGATTTTTTAAAGCAATAGATAAATTGAAACAAAACAAATTTTGTAATGTCAAATGATGTGATTGATACTGGTAGAGGTGAGATTACTTGGAAATGGGGGATCTTTCATATTTAAATCCAAATAGTTATCCTTATTTGGTTTGAAAAACTTATCTCTTAAGTTCTTAATGGATGCTTCTTATTTTTATTATGTTTACTGGCTTAATTATTGTTACATTTTGTGTAACGTCAAGGTATCCTCACATAACTAAGGATCACTTGGTAAAGCTTCTGAAGCAATTGATGCTGACTACGGCCCATCCTTTGTTTGGGAAACATGGAGGAAGCAGTCCTAATGCAGCTGACGTTCCTACTTTACTTGGATACGGTTCATTTTCACTTCTTGATAGTACGTGATATGCTATAGTAATCTTCTTTCTCTACTTGATTATACAAGCTAAATTGAAAAGTTTTTAACCCATACACTGAATAAAATGTCTCTTAGGCTATTATGTGAATGTAGTGAATTAGTGATTTATATATCTATGTTAATAATTTTCTTTTCTTAATTTTGTGGAATATTCTCAAAGATGTGTATTAATCTGTTGGGGCTTGCTGTAAGTTACTGGGTTTGGGATCGGCTGTTGCAGTTTCTGCTTTGGTAGAATTGATAATTGAATATACGAGCATCCCAAAATTACGTTAGCATCTGAAAAGTACACATTTTACAGTGGTCATTTTTGGTCCACCAAGATTTGTACTGGGGCATATATAATATTATCATTGTGTGGCTGGTAGTAATGAACATATATAAAAAGGGAAAGGTCCAAGATTCTAAATATTTAAACACTTGAGTAGATAATTGTCTTTGCTTTGGAATTTCTTGCTGGTCTTTCCTTTTTACAAATGTAGTACTGATCTGAAGCTTCTATTGGTAAATTTACATTTAAAAATGTCTGACAGTTGGTGTAGTTGGTTATGTCCTCAATATTAACCATATAATATTTATTTGGAAGAATGGGAATTTACTTTGTTTTAATCCTTGTGTTTGTACAGTTGATAGGAAAACTGCTGACAAGCAGGTGAAGCCCCCTCCACTTTACATGCGTTGGCCACACATGAAGGCTAATCAGGTTCAGGGGCTAAGTTTAAGGGAGCTTGGAGGTGGCTTTACAAAGCATCATTGTGCTCCGTCTATTCGCAGTGCATGTTATGCTATTGCCAAACCATCTACTATGGTGCAAAAGATGCAGAATATTAAAAAGCTAAGGGGGCACCGTGTGGCTGTTTATTGTGGTATGATTTAGTCTTCTGCTAAACTTGATAATATGGTTGCTTTATGGGCATGCTATTCTACGAGTTCATGTTTAGTTATTCTCATAAAGTTACATGACCTTGGTAAAAAAATGAATCTAATGTTTTTTCATTATAAGCATTGCTCTCTCTTCTTAGAGTTTCCTTTTGATGTTAAGTAATTACTTTAATAGTTGAACTTATGCTTGATAATCTTTTAAAACATGGTTTTATCTTGCAGCCATATTTGATGGATCAGGGCGTTATGTTATTAGTGGTTCTGATGATCGTCTTGTCAAGATTTGGTCTATGGAAACTGCATTTTGCTTAGCTAGTTGCCGTGGACATGAAGTGAGTGATGAGTATTGTTTATGAAAGTAATTTTGATAAATTCGTTTTCCTTTCAATATCATATGTTGTCATTGCTCATTATATAAATTGAAGGGTGATATTACTGACTTGGCTGTAAGCTCAAACAATGCATTGGTGGCATCTGCTTCAAATGATTTTGTCATTCGAGTTGTAAGTAGAATACCTCAATTTTTTTGTTCTGTCCTGTAAACTTTGTGCAATTTAATTGACATTTGCTTTACAACAGTGGCGCTTACCAGATGGGATGCCAATATCAGTTTTGCGTGGACATACTGGAGCTGTTAATACTATTGCATTTAGTCCTAGGCCTACTGCTGTATACCAGCTGCTATCGTAAGTCTTTAGTGCTAGATGTTGTCACTGCATTATATATACAATACTACATTTTTGTGTGTTCAATTGTAACAGCTTAAAACTTAGTACACTTAAGCTTGAGGGGGAGTATCATGATTATAATATTGGTTATATCTTGAAATAATTTGGAGTATCTTAAATAATCTCTTAGAAGTGGTTTCCATATTTCATTATGCCTTATGATTTGTGTAATTATTTAATTAGGATTTGAAGTCTATTATTAATATAAATTGAGGTTAGTTTTCTTTTATCACATCAAATTATTTAGTTTCAGTTCAGATTATTCAGTCTCTGTTTTCACTATTTCTCCTAAATCCCTATTGTATCAACATAATAAAAGGGAGGTGAGACTTCAACATATGTATAAACTATTTTAAAATAGCACAGGTTGACACCTATTTCCATATACAGTGTTGCCTATGTTTTTTTTTTTTTTTTTTGAAGGGGGTTATCTTAGTCAATTAAGTGTAATATGAGTCCCAGAAGAATGTTAATTTCCTTTTTATTTTACACACGTTTGTCTAGTGTTCTTAATCTGCAATTTTGTGTCTTGACTGTTATGACTTACAATATATGTAGGTCATCAGATGATGGAACTTGTAGAATATGGGATGCGAGAAATTCACACAATCCCCGAATATATGTTCCTCGACCTTCAGATGCGATAAATGGTTAGATATTGGGCTTCTTTTTCTGTCAATAGATCAGGCGTGGATCTGGAAGTGGTCTGTGTTTGTCATTATTACCATGCTAAATTTGATTCAATGGTACAATCTATTTGGTTTTTGAGTTGGATCAGTTGCTTAATCTTTCCAGATCAGTAGTCTGACCTGTTGATAGCTATTATTGCTTTTTGGTTATTAGGTTATTCTTGATTGATTTTAGGATTGTTTGAGGAATAATAAATTTTTGTAGGGAAGAGCAATGTGCCACCAGCTAATTTACCATCCTCAAGCAATGGTCAACAGAGCTATCAAGTACTTTGTTGTGCATATAATGCAAATGGAACTGTTTTTGTTACTGGTAGCTCTGATACTTATGCCAGAGTAAGTTTTCTGATGTAATCTTCACATATTTCCTATTGTTCTTCCATTAATACAATTGGCTTTTTCTTGTTTAAATATTGCATCTATTCAGATATGTTAAGAAAAATACTGCTATTTGCAGGTATGGAGTGCCTTGAAGCCCAACACTGACGACTCAGAACAACCAATACATGAGATGGATTTATTATCTGGTCATGAGAATGATGTTAATTATGTACAGTTCAGGTTAGCCATCTGGGTTAGATCTACACTTATTTATTTTATTTTATATTATATTTGATAAGGATTCTTATTGTCATTGCTACCTCTGCATGCAGTGGTTGCTCTGTTGCTTCAAAAATTTTGACATCTGACCCTTGGAAAGAAGAAAATACACTGAAGTTCAGAAATTTCTGGTATATTTTAATGGTTATTTCCTGTAGTGTTTTTTTAGCTACACTTGTTTAGAATTTATTTAATATAATAAGTGTAACTCCTCTCTCATTGCTAAGTATGTTGCATATTGATGTCATAACTTGTGTATTTCAGGTATTGTCATGATAACATAGTTACCTGCTCTCGTGATGGAAGTGCTATTATATGGGTTCCCAGATCACGGAGATCTCATGTGAGCTCCTCTAAATAAGATTATCGTTGAACTTCTGTCCATTTTATTCTTGAAAACATTTTCTTCCATTTTTTCTTTCCTAGAATTATTTTGAGCATCTCTGTGGTATGATGTGCAGTTTTATTTTCCCCCTATGCTTACCATGTAAAATATGTTTGAACCCTCTGCTTTTTCAGGGAAAAGTTGGACGTTGGACTCGTGCATATCATTTAAAAGTGCCACCACCGCCCTTGCCTCCTCAACCTCCAAGAGGGGGTCCAAGACAGAGATTTCTTCCTACTCCTCGTGGTGTCAATATGATTGTGTGGAGCCTGGACAATCGCTTTGTACTTGCTGCTATTATGGGTAATGTACTGACTAAAAGTAATTGCTATAATGGAGTGCGAAGTTTAAACCAACACAATATATATATTTTTGGTATGCTTAGCATGTTAAGTTAATGGCACCTTGTATCCAAATCTGTCAATGTGGTATATAAACCTTTTATATGTTGCAGATGTATTGTGTTAATCACTAACACTACCATATGATAACTTATTCAAAGGATCTATTTTGTTTTTTTCTTATACGCTATTTGAAAATCAATTTATCCATAGACTAAAGCTGTTGGGGAATATGTATATGTTCTGCGTTGTGCTACTGATTACTGCTATTATTTATATCACTATACATTGTATTGCCTCAACATGGATCCTGGTTTTGTAAGCAATTGGCATTTAATTTCCCCAGTATCTTGTCGACATTATATTTATATAATAATTGCCATGATATCATATCTTTATTTCTAATGTGGGGTTCAAGTTCCGTTCCTTGCAATTAGATCCTAATAATGATTCCTTCCTTTCTCTGCTATGGATATTCAGTTTTGAGTTATTTCATTGTAGAGATCAGGTTCTTGCATGCTTTAACTGATAACTTGTCTTTTCATGTTGAAGATTGCAGAATATGTGTTTGGAATGCAGCCGATGGCAGCTTAGTGCACTCTTTGACTGGTCATACTGCTTCTGTAAGACCTATCCTCTGTCTTTTTCTCTCCCTACCCCGTTTATTTTTGGTATTCCCTATTTAATATGTTGCTAAGTTGCTCTGGTAGTTAACACATTTGCTTATTTTTTCTGGACTACAATAAAATTGAAATTTGGTTATACTTCTCTTATTGGGCTCTGTTCTAGCCTCTTGTCAGTTTTTCTATCTTAATTTGAAATTTTATAGTTCTTTCATGACTAAATGCTGAGTTATCAATGGTTGGCAGTCTTATGTTTTGGATGTTCATCCTTTCAACCCTCGGATAGCTATGAGTGCTGGGTATGATGGACGAACCATTGTGTGGGATGTAAGCTTCTTCTTTTGGGTCTTTAAATCTTAATACTAACATGTTCTTTGCAAAACATAGATTAATTTGTGCTTTTCTGGTATTTTTTTTTTTTTTCCAGATATGGGAGGGCATACCTATTCGAACATATGAAATTGGACGTTTTAAGTTGGTTGATGGGAAGTTTTCTCCGTAAGTGTCTATAGAATAATTGTTATTTGTTATTTTTTTTTGTTTTTTGCAGATTATTTTTCATTTAATAATTTCCATTCTTACATCTATTGTTTTTTCCTCTTCATAGATTTTGATTGTTCCATACTTTGGTAATACTTAGTGAATGTCTTTTGTGTCCTTTCTTTTGCTTATTAGAACTTGTCTTTGGCAAAGAAACTCTTTAATTGATATTCTTACAACACAGGGATGCTTAAGCTGTTAAGTCTTATTAATTTTTTTCTTTTTCATCTAAGATGCCCCTTCATGCAAGAGCCTTTTGGGGTTGAGGTTCACCTGGAGTTGTTTGGCCAAGTGCTAGACATGCATTTGCACCAAAGGAATGGTTGTTCAACTGTAATGTGTTTGGTTATGTTTTCTTTGCCGTTGAAAAGAAATAATTTTCTGAGAAGTAAATTTTTCTTGCTTTTTAGGTGATAAGAATTTATTCTAGATGTAGGATCTACATAATTTTACAAAATATACCAATAATTACATCTCAAAAGTGATTCTACTTTACTATCTGAACAAAATCAATCCTTCTAAACTCTTGAAATACCATTCCCAAACACAAACTAAGCAATCTTTCTAACATTTATTTAATTTTTTTTAAACATTAATTCTTTTAAAAGCAATTCTACAAAATTTTAAACCAAGCAAGCCCTCTACATTGTGATTAAATTCAATTTCTAATTAGTTAGTAGAATGGGGGCTGTAAGAATTAAACTCTTGATTGCCAGGTCATAGTGGTTCTAATACCATGTCAAGGACACACTTGCTTTAAAGTGTAAGCTGATAGGTAATGTCTCATGGACAGTGTTATATCTTTCTTCTTTTAAAAGGCATGTAGTTACATCATCCCTCTTCATCGACATACGTTGGATAAATCTGAATCTTGTCTTATGGACAATAATCCTGTACTATATTCAATCTGACCAACAAATATTCTTTGTTGTTATTATTAGTAGTAATTGTCTGGATCCATCCCAAGAGTAAGCTACCATTGTCAAGTTTGTATACTAATCATGTCTACCTATGAGTGTATGCCTGCTTTAGCACCTTTATGATGTAGATTTTCTGTGTCACAGAATGAAATATGTCAACCTTTATCCATCTTAAATGAATGAGGATCTTTGATGGTGTGTAATTCATTAATATATTTTGTGTTCATTTTAGGGATGGAACATCAATTGTGCTTTCAGATGATGTTGGCCAAATATATTTTCTGAATACAGGTCAAGGCGAGTCGCAGAAGGACGCAAAATATGATCAGGTGGTCTACTTTTACAATATTGCTTCCCTTACCGTTTCTTTTATAAAAAATCTATATCACCTTCATAGCAAGTTAATTTACATGGCTGTCCTATTTTTCTGGCAGTTTTTTCTTGGTGATTATCGACCCCTTATTCAGGATACTCAGGGAAATGTTCTTGATCAGGTTGAGTAATCCTAGTACCCCTGTACATTGTTGATGTTGTCATCATAATTGAATTGACAAATATAATATTTATTTGTTGGATTTTCAATGTTTTTGCTAACCTATGTCATACCTGATGCAGGAGACTCAACTTCCACCACATCGAAGAAACATTCAGGAACCACTTTGTGATTCTAGTATGTTGTGGATCTTATTTTGAAATTCTTCTTGTCTTACTAGGATGCAAGTTTCTCTTATCATACTTATTTCAACACCAGGTATGGTGCCATATCCAGAACCTTATCAGAGTCAATTTCAGCAACGTCGACTAGGTGCTCTTGGCATTGAATGGCGTCCTTCATTGATAAAATATACCGTCGGTCCAGATTTTAGTGTTGATCAGGACTACCCTGTGATACCTTTGGTAGATTTGGAAGGAATGATTGAGCCACAACCAGAGTTCATAGATGCCATGTTCTGGGAACCAGAATATGACATTGTTGTAAGTGACGACACTGACTCTGAATACAATGTGAATGAGGATAATTCTAGTGCAGCTGAGCAAGGGAGTGTCAGTGCCATCTCTTCTAGTGATCTAGAGTGCAGTGAAGATGACTCTAGTAATAGGGATGGCCTTCGAAGATCAAGAAGGAAAAAACATAATGTTGAAGTAAGTCTCTTCCATTTTGGATCAATCTTTAATTACAACTTGTTATCTAACCATAATGTTTCTCAGGTTGAGGTAATGACCTCCTCTGGAAGGCGTGTTAGGAAAAGGAATTTGGATGAATGTAATGGTAATACTTCTGGAAGTAACAGAACCAAGAAATCCAAAGGCAGCTCAAAATCATCAAAACGGAAATCTTCTAAAGCTAAGAAATCAAGACCACAGAGAGCTGCTGCACACAATGCTCGTAATATGCTCTCTCAATTTGGGGAAACATCTACTGACGGGGAAGATAATTATTCTGATGATGAATCATCAGACAGTTTCCAAGATTCAGATGATCTTAGTGAACCTGAGAGGAAGATTGATAATAAGCGTGATGAACGTAAAGAACCCTTTTTGGAAAAGTTTGCAAATGTTTCCAGGCCTCCTGCACACACTGAGTCCCAGACAAATGTTGAAAGTAGACCAAGATTGGTTGTTAAGTTTTCACTTCGTGATTCTAAGAAGAATGTGCCCATAGAGGACACAAGACTAGCATGTGAGACTCGTGCTGATATATTATGCCAGTCTTCTAGACCCCAAGCCCAAGAAAGCGATAAAAAATGTTTTTCAGACAAAAGTTCTGTTGACCCAGTATTATCTACAGATGCAACTGATGCTAAACTTCCCGAAAGCCACAACAGACATGAAAATAGTTATAAAACACAAGCTGGAAGTGCTTCAGATAATCTGGATGCGTCCATGTGTTTTGAGGCAAATGCAGATCAGTGCAGAAAGATGAAGAGACGCACATATGAACTTTCAAGCTCAGGGGATGTTTTGCTGACTGGTGATGTTGATGACCATCTTGAACACAATGCCAATGGGTATGTCAAGCCTGATATTAATGTAGAAAAAATGTATGTGTGCTGCTTCCTTTTCTTTATTTCGTAAGCCAGAATCAAAAAAATTTTCCTACTATTTTTGCAGGAGATCAGAACATATGATTAATACAGAGCTGGCTGATTTTGACGATGCACCTAAATTTTCATCACCTGAACCTTTGTTTCTTGGTAATCATCAGCCAAATGTTGATGATTCCTTGACATCTAGTTATGACAAGTTCAATGGTGGTGATAAAGGCCAGTCTGGATCTGGCAGATGCGGAGAGGACTCACTGGAAAACAATGAAGTTGTTCACTCAAGCAACTCTCTTGACCTCAAAATGAAAGCACCTGTGAAATCGACCAAGTTAGTTATTAAAAAGAAGCCGGTTTCCGCAGATACTGAAGGTCCTTGCAAACTGAAATTTGTTTGTCCTAAGGCAGATCCAACTGGTGCTAGAGGTAATTTAATCTCTGGAAATTCCTCTTTTACGGGGCCCAACATAGTAATGGAAGTACCAGAGGATGAAGATGACAGAAAATTTAGTTCTTCAGAGCTACTGAATTCATATTCTGACAAAAGAAGTTATGATCACGTCCATGAAGGGGGCAAGTCATATAGAGGGGAAGTCGATCCAGATGGTTTTGATTGTGATCTGAAAGAAAACACCTCAGTTTTCAGCAACCAACGGGGTTTAGGAATTGGTTTACCTGATCTTGTCGGTGATCCAATACGTCGAACACGATCTATAAGGGTGAAGACAACTTCTGAGGAGCCAAGCACTTCAAACAGAAGGATTAAAATTCGAGGGGGCCAAAGTTCCAGGGGCACTTCTGATCGGGAAGATTCTTCTATCAAAGTATCCGATCAACTTCATCGAAGAACAAGGTCTGGCAGAAACAGGCATGGTGAATACATTGCCAATGACCCTGGTATTTTAACTCAAAGGGTGTTGAATCACCATGTCAAAAAGTTGTCATGGCTGATGCTGTCAGAGCATGAAGAGGGTTACCGATATATCCCTCAACTTGGTGATGAAGTTGTATACTTGAGACAGGTAGTTTCTGTTTTGCAACTTATGCTTGTCTTCTTATGGCTTGTAATACTTTTTAGTTTGTTTTGGAATGCAAGTTTGTTTAATCTGTTTCCTAGTTTATGTTTGACCTATTTGATTGGTTCTATAATCTGTTTCCTTATTCATATTCTTATGCATATTGGATTGCCAGGGCCATCAAGAGTACATAGAGTCATGTATGCTATCTGAATCAGGTCCGTGGAGATCATTTCCAGGACTAAGTGCTTCTGAAATTTGCAAGGTTGAAGAGCTCGAGTATGCGGAGCTCCCAGGTTCTGGGGATAGCTGTTGTAAACTTAAACTTAAATTTGTGGATCCTTCTTCATATGTGCATGGCAAATCGTTTAAATTAACTCTACCTGAATTGATTAACTTCTCTGATTTTGTTGTTGAGAAAACATGGTATGATACTGCCATGAAGAGAAATTGGTCTTCAAGAGATAAATGCATGGTCTGGTGGAGAAATGAAGACGGGAAAGGTGGAAGTTGGTGGGATGGTCGAATTATATCTGTGCAGGCAAAATCTCAAGACTTCCCTGACAGTCCTTGGGAAAGATATCTGATCCAGTACAAAACTGATCCAACAGAAAATCATCTGCATAGTCCGTGGGAACTATATGATCTGACAATTCTATGGGAGCACCCCCACATCGATCATGATATAAGAGATAAGCTGCTGGCTTATTTCACTAAATTAGAGGTTAGTAGACACTGAATTAGGCTTGTCATTACTCGCAAAGTTTCTAATCATGATTTTAGGAATACCGATGTGTTATATTTCAAAATGGACCCCTTGTGTAACGTTTCTCATTGCCCTCCCCTCAATCCAGGAGAAGTTTGATATCCAAGCATTGAACCAAATAGCTGAGAAGTCAGAGTTTTCCAACAGGTACTAAAACTCTGTCTTGAAAAGCTGAAGACTGATGTGCATGAGATTTTTTATATAGCCCTGTTCTAGCAATTTTCAGCCTTAAGTAAACAAAATGTAAAAATGTCAGAGAGAAAGCCACAATTTAAATCTGTGATTTGTAATAACTTATCTTTGGATTTGTGTTATAGGTTTCCTGTTCCATTCTATCCTGAACTGATTCAGTCAAGATTGAATAATGACTACTACAGGAGTGTGGAAGGTGTCAAGCATGATATAATGGTAATGTTATCAAATGCCGAGGACTTCTTTACCATTACCAATAATGTTCAACTGTTGAGCAAGGTGAGGAGAATATCAGGATGGTTTAGAAGGAGACTTGAAAGGATATAGAAGGTCCAAATTGGGTCTTATAGGTTTCTTCTAACATTGTTTTTCATTCTTTAATCCAATTTTGGAGAATTAGTTGGTCTTTAAGCAATAGTTTTATAGAATGGAGAAGGCCATAGGTGGTGGTAAATATTAGCTGTCACGTGTGTATATATATACAGACTAACCTTTTAAATGCCAAGTGTCATTTGGATGGTTTGTGCGGCTTTATTGCGTTGATTGGTGGTTTTACCTTTTACGTGTGTTTGGAATTTTAACAAAATCAAATTAAATCATATAAATGAATTCACATTTAAGTGGATTTGACATGAATCTAAACATGTCAATTCCACTTAAGCGAGCTTAAGCTTCAATAGAATACAGTCTAAAAACAATAAATCCTTCATTTCCTACTCATTGGTGTATTCAAGATTAAAAAATAAATAAAAAGTTATTGGCTTAACACTTTTGAAATGCAACTTTAATCAAACTGCGGAGCAGTTTAACTCTATTACCTATCATTTCCACACGTATTACACTGAAGAAAACCAAAAAAATAAAATAAAAATATGGCATTGCTAGCAAAGTTAAAGGTTGAATCAAATTACAGTAATGTTCATCATAAAGTAAACTAGTATTCTGCAAAATTTGTAGTAAACAAACTACATGTCAAATTCTCTACACGAAGTATTTCAATTTCAATTTCTGAGAACTATAATGAGCCTTTCTAACGGCTGCGTCTGATAAAATTCAATTTCTTGAAAATGTATCACGTACTAATATGGTTAGCAATTATGCCATTCCAATATCTTTGGAATTCACTTCGGTATTATTGAAAAGCTTATGTATAGCACTACATCCTCGTTTCTGCTTTTTATACAGATCATATATATTGGGGAATAGTAGAGAAATTTCTACATTCTGTCACGCTTTACCGTGTATAATTCTGATGGCTTCAATTAAATGCTCTCTCTTAATGGGCTTGACTATGTGAAAGTCCATTCCAGCCTCTGTTGTTATTTTGTCAGTATAAGCAGTTAATGCAATAATAGGAATGCGGACACCATAGGGCTTCTCTATCTTCCGTATCCACTTTGTTGCCTCAAGCCCGTCCATTATCGGCATCTGTTGAATCAATTATAGAAAATTAAAACACACGTTATATTGCACGGAAAAATCAAATATTATTCGGAGATCACTCTGGTGTCAATTTGATCTTGAGTAATCAGGATGACTTCCGAATTATTTATTGAATGTTAATTATATTCAATAAATTTTTAATCACTAATGGTGAATTTAATCTCTAATATATCTTCAATAGCTCGTTCAGGTATGGTATCCATTAATGAACTATAATAACTTTACATGAAAAATGCTCTTTTAAATTCAACATATAAAAATATGACAAACCTTAGGTATAATTGCTTAAGTACTGTATTACTTATCAATCAAATATTTGAATTTTATTTAATAAAATATTTGTATATATGTTATCATAAACTATCGAGATAAAACTCGAATTAATTTACTTATAAACAACAGCAATAGCAGTTAAAACACATCATGTAAGTTTTGTTCTAAAAATATATTCACCCCTTATTTAAGTTAAAACGAGAGGAATGGAAAGTAGAAACCATACTCCATAGTCATTACCTGGCAGTCCATTAAGATATAATCATAAGGAGGATTAGGAAAATCCCGAGTTAGACCCTCTTCAACTAGGCGCACAGCTTGTTCACCATTCTCACATTGCTCCATAGTTGCACCAAGAGAAGTCAAAGTAGCCGAAGCTAGCTTGCGTAACAATTGAGTATCCTCAACAACCAAAAATTTCTTACCACTCAAGGGTTTTTTGCACCTTGAGTCCCCACATTCTTCCATTTCTCCTTCATAAATGGCCCTCTGTTTTGCCTTGGATTGCTCACTTCCCTTCCAAATTTGTTCAGCACTTTGACATGTCGTTTCATCAGTTGGGGGCACTTGTGATCTATCCATCAAACGAGACTTGTATTTTAACAAACTTGAATCCTTACAAGTCTTCAATGCAACTCTATCTTGAGTACTTTCTCTCTTAGCTTTACTATAACTGCTTTGCCATGCACCACCATACTCAGGAAGAAGCTTTATAACTTGGAACAAACGAGTACCATGAAATGGTTTGGATATGACAATGTCATCTTGATCAAGGTCTTTGAAGTTGATACTACGCATAAGAGGGTTGTCCAACCAAACAACCTTACAAGGGTTGTTAAGGTCTTCTCTGAAGTTGGATACAATCCTACAAAGTTCAGAAAATGGTCCTGCATTTGCATCAATCACAATAAGGATGAAACCTGGGGTAGCTCCAATACCTGTCTTCTGGAAGACTGAATGTATAAACTCAGTTGCATCCATAGCACTGAAAGGAACCCTTGTGGCTCTTGCATAAGAATTATGCGAGGTAGATCGAGAACTCAAATTTGAAGACCCTGGAGAACTTTGGCCACTGGAATGATGACCCTTCTGTTTGATCTTCTTGAGAGTATAAAACAATTGTTTCCATCGCTTCACAACCTTAACATTAATCCCTAAGCTCTCCATGAACCTTTGTGAAGTCCTTCTTCTCTCCTCATCAGCAATCAAAAGAACCACACGTGAAGTCTCAGGCTTAAGACTGGAGCTGCAAATATGTATCCTTGAACTCATTGAGCAACCAGGATCTGTAGTATGCATGGTTCGTCCCTCAGCTTGGTTTCTGTCTCCTGATCCATATTCAACACCATCCCTTGTGCTACTGCTACCATCTATCATTGTCTCACACTCGCATGAAGTGAGGAGCACATTGAACCTGAAGCATGTTCCTTTGTTTCCAATATCTTTGTCCACAATTTCAATATCTCCATGCATCAAACGCACCTAAAGAAAATCAATTAAGATTTTTTTAGTTTAATTTTGATAAACTGCTAGCATATAAAAAATTAGATAGTTAACTGATTAAAAATTACTTTAGATGAGTATAGTTTTTGGTAATTTTCAATCATATGATAGTTTATGATATTTACATATCGAATTCGAATTATTTTATTTAAATTCGGATTTTTTTTATAATATGTAGCTCAGGTAACATAGGGAACATACAACTCACAACTATTTGGTAATGAGTAATACTTACCAACGACTTCACAATCCCAAGTCCCAAGCCAGTTCCTCCATGGCCAAGAGCAGTTTCTTTGACTTGGACGTAATTCTCGAACACAGACTTGTGATTCTCTTTAGGAATTCCTTTTCCCGTGTCATCCACTTCAAATATAAAATCCATGCAATTTGGATCTTGTTGGATTGAATTCATGGGTTCCATATCAATATGCGTTTCGTTTTTCTTATACAATATGCATGATAAATATTTCTTGAAACCACATTGGTTACTAGTGATCGTTGAGTTCTTCATGCTCGGCTTCTGGATCCATGCCCGAACTACTATGTGCCCTTCGTCGGTAAATTTAACAGCATTGCTCAGTAAATTACTCAAAACTTGTTTTAGTTTTCCCCTGTCACCTTTCACGCGTGAGTTCCTCATAAGAGAACCATTACAAAGGTCCAGAACAAGATCTACACCTTTTTTAAAAGCCACGGGATGGTAAAAATCAACTACATCTTCCAGGAGATGGTACACATCAAATTCCTCTTCTTCAAGTTGCATTTTTCCTGCCTCAATTTTGCTTATGTCAAGTATAGAATTTAACAGTCCTAATGCACACAAAGAAAACAAGTTAGTGAGGCTAAATGACACATACACACCTGAATGATAGATTAAATCGTGGTTATGTGTTTGAGTGAATGTTTAAGTTTGAATGAATATAATTTTGTTTAAATAAGAATTCAAATGTGATTTATGTTTAAAAATTGTCTTAACTAAGTTTATAGTAAAATTTGGTATAAATTTCTGCAAAAATTATTGTTTATGACATTGGCCTAAACATAGTTTAAAGTAAAAATTAATTTTGTTGGAGTACAAATATCAAAATTTTCTACAAAATCATCTTACAATAAAACAAATTTGATTTTGCAAAATTTTAACAAGAATGAAAATATGCACTGTATAACAGTACAATTGGGTAGCATGAATCAAATGATGTTACCTAGTAAGTCTTGGGTACAGTTATCCATTTGTCTTAAATTGGTATCCAATTCTGAACCATGGACAACAAGCTCATAGGACATTTCTATCAAACCGGTAAGGCCCGCGAGAGAAGCGCGAACATCATGGCTGGCACTAGCAACAGCGATGCTCTTATTCATATTCTTTCTCTCAGCTTGTTGGGTGGCTTCCATCTGTTTGATGAGTGAGGCACACAAATGCATTTCTCGCATTTTAGCTTTTGCATTTATCAATAGAAAACTGAAGAACGCAATAAATATTGTGACCATCGTTGCGATCAACAGGGTCAATCCCTTTTTCTTGTAATTGAATTCAAAGCTCACGAATTCATTTTGTGGGACAGCCAAAACATACACCTGAAATATAATAAAATGAGAGAGATGCGGAAACTATTCAATCCCAGTGTTAAAATGGCACATTAGCTACGAATACATTTCTAGCTAGCGAGGCCTACACGACACTTTATTACACATTTTAAGGTTGTTACATGTACGTTAGTACAAAATTCGTATTAATTATTACCTTAATATTTTGGGTCTTTCTTTGAATTACAACAATCGATTAAACTCCTATGCAAAGGGTGTTCTATATATAAAATTTAGAAGTGTGTGCCTACTGTTATTTTTGTGTGTTGATGATCATTTATATTCAAATACTCCTAGTTTTTATCTAAAATATGTTTTCTTTGTTAATCAAATTAATATTTAGAGAAAAATTATATAATTTAATTAAATAAGTGATATAAACATATTGATGTGACAACAACAGTCTCATATTTAAAGATATAAATTTTATGTAAAATATATAGGAAAACTTACACAAAAGCTACTCAATAATAAATAATGTGCTGGAAAAAGTGAATCACAAAATGAATTGCTAGACATTTACATTGAATATCAATCATAACAGATATGAAATCAATAGTAGATATAACGAGAAATTACAACTCTGGGATATGCTGCTATTACTATTGGAATTTATTAGTGAAATGAATAATTCCAAATTGAGAATCGACAAATATGTCAAAATATGAAAGCGTACCGATTCAATTCCCATTATATCAATGGTGTAGCAGTGAATTAAATATTGAGTATCCTGAATATTCAAACTAGAAGCAACGGCTTCATCTTTGCATGAGACAGTGCCCTCATTACTTGTGCGATCACCATTTGCATTCACTGATTGGATGGAAACCGTATCATTAGAAAGGACCAAACGGATATGTTGAATCCCTTCAACAACAACTTTTCCATCTTTGGTAGCCAAGTAGGACCTTATGCCTTGTTGGTCAATGCGATTGACAAAATCAGTTATTGCCTTTGCTGAAAACCCAAGAGAGATCACTCCTGTTCTTGTGATTCTAGCTGAACTTAGGAACAAAAGATCACGACCATTGCTCCACTTGGTTCCCAATGAGGCAAACCCACTTGACACATTAACTGTTTCTTCAATCCAAGTTGCATTGATAAAGGGGTTAGAAACTATGGCTTTGGCTTCCCCATAAACCTCTCCAGTTTCACGATTTACCGGTTGAATATAGTACATGGATTTATTTGAGGCACCCCAACAAGAAAATGATGATGATGAATTAGTGTACATTGCTAAAGCTTGATCGTGATCAGTGTAGTACGAGAAAAAGAGACCTTCCATCCCTATGTATGAGATTTGAGCTAAGTAAGGAATTGTCTCAAATGCTTGATATAATAACGGAGCAACCTGTAAGACAAAAAACAGCTATATAAAACCACAAAGAAACTGTTTATCTACATTGAAAAAAAATATTAAAAAAGTGAATAACACCTTGTTCTCAATATCAGAAAAGGAGATATGAGTAGTATCAAGGGCTGAACTTAGAAATCTTGCTAAATTGGTTGATGATGATTTCACGGGGTGTAACAATTCAGCTGAGCACTCAATTTCTGATTTCAATTGGGACACAACGGTTTTTGAGTTCAAAGTCACTCGTTTCTCCATCTGTATGACCATCACATACCAGCATGGCGTCAATAAGACGAGAATTATCAGCGCACCATATGCCTGCAACAAATGTCTCCTTATCATGGGATTTTTAAAAATATATATATAAAAAACAGATATTTGTACTCATAAATCAACTAGTTTATTTTCCAAAAGAAAATAAACGAATTTAACTATAAAAATTACTGAGGTGAAACTCAGTTATCTTTCTGTTCCAAATGAAGTCAAAGATAAAGAGGAGATTAGGAATCAGAACGTGGGAGAACCTCTCCTTCATTGGCCACGAGGTTAACGCCATGAATAATAATAATAATAATAATAATAACAGGACATGGAAAAACAAAAATGGCATGAACTAATAAATATACCAGTAGGATCAGCAAAGATGAAGGCCTCACGACCATTGATAAATGGGGATTCATTGAGTTTTCTGGATGTGATCAAGCTGCTAAGTCGACTTCTGCATTGGAAACTCAATAAAATCATATTGATGATGATATACTGAATAATGAAAATATTACAGGCAAGTACAAATGATAATTTTTTGGCAACAAAAAATGCAGAGAATTGTATTATTGTTATTGTTTTATACATATTATTATTATTATTATTATTATTATATATGCAAGGCATGACATTAGGAAAAAATACCTGACGAGAATATTTGATATTCTCTGCACATTTCGTCTATAATCCAAACTTAATCTTTTCCATTATTGACATCTACCAAAAAAATAATACTGAGGATCAAAAGTTTAGATTTGCCTAGCATTTACCCTTATAACAATATTTAAACAGAATCAAACAATTAAGATGCGTCAATGACTACAAAAATCAAACAAAATTATACATTAGAGGAGCATCAACATCAAATTGAAATATGAGTATATCTATGACTTCAAACATACAAAATATAATTAATTAATATTCTCTTCATATAGAGATGCAATCACTGGTTGCTGCTGAATGAGGATGAATGCACGGAGAAATTCCGATCATCCCCGCTTGTATACAATGACAACGGTATGCAGTCAAAACTTATGTTCTCTTCCAATTTATCAAACTATTAAGAGATAAATTCAAGTGACTAGATCTTATTAGTTTTTTTAAGATTTATATATAGTTATCAAAGAGTATTGTTATAGACTACAATCTATACATGCAAATGTAGTAATTTTTAGTATTTCAATGATGAAAAATGAAAATAATAAGTAATGTAATATAATTTTTTAAGAAAAGTAGATACTATAACATAGAAGTCATGTAAATATCAGCATTGCCTTTTATACGTAGATATTTGAAGAAATATCGGGTTCCTTGATTTTTGAAACTGGAGAACCCAGCACATTGTTTCAACCCCAAATTTCCAAATCTGATTCCTGATAAAACTTAGTACCTTTCCCACAAAAAGGAATATTTTTCAGTATATGTGTGTATAATCTGGTTAGTTTTGAATATTGATTATATATTTTTAAAAATATATATTATAATGAAACAATGAATTAAATTCAACTTTTGATATTTTCAGTATTTTGTGCTTTAAACATTGTATGTAATATACATACTTCATTACAAGTGTATTTTTAAGATTAAGTAAGATTTAAAATATATAATATGAGTTTTTAATATTTTTAATAGAAATTTTCATTTAAAAAATTTTAAATATATACTATCGAAGCCAACTCTCATTAGTATTGCACAACTTTATTTGACGAATATTATGTTATTTAAATAATAAATAAATATTTACTATCAAATTACATAATTAAATATTTAAATCATTTAAACTTTAATGTATGTAATCATTGAAATATTATCACATAATTTAAGAGTAATAGAATGAGAAAATTTATACTTATAATAAATTATTATTATTATTATTATTATATAAAATTTGACACATGTTAATTGATACTTTCTAATATTTGTGGATGTAGCGAAAGCACTGATATATGTATATTATTATGAGATGGCAATAAATTTAAAAATGAATAAATGGTAAAAGATAAAAGCTGAAGTTCCTAAAGTGGAAGACAAATCCTCCTATATCCCTAGTGATACGGTGGGACGCGCGTTTTTAATTTTATTCTTATTTTAAATTATTTTTAAAACATATATGAATAGCTATATATTCTAACTTTATATTATAAAGAGAAGATATTTGATAAAAGTGAGAAAAAAATTTATAGACTTTTCAGCGTAAAAAAATCAAAAGAGGAATTTCAATAAAAGACTGAGAATAAAAAAGATAAAAATAAATTAACATCTTATAAATTCAAATGTTATATAAAATAACTTTTTGAAAAATGCCAAAAGCTAGTGAAATGAATTTCCTTGCCAAATAACTTAAATTTAGAGTGTATTTGGTAAATTTTTTAAGCTAATTAAAAAAATGTTATTAGTTAAAATGTTTTATAAAAAATAAAAAATAATATGAATTTAGTACATTTTTGGTTTTGTTTGTGTTCATTTGATTTTAAATATAAAAATGAAAAATAATCAAATTGCACAAGCAAATACAAATTTTTCATTTTCTATTTTCTCAATAATATTTTATTTAGTTTTTAATTTTTTAAATCAGTTTAATGGTTTATATTTTTTTCCTTCATTTTTTTTTCATATTTTCTCTTTTACTCTAAACCCAAAATAATTGATCTTTGTTGATAAAAAATAAAAATCATAAAGAAATAATTATTTTTTTCATAAAAATATTATTTAAAAGTATTTATACAAAAATAAAAATTATTATTATTCATTTAAAAATTTTAAAAATGTTTAATTATGTTTTAATATACTTTTTTTTGTTGAGAAGAAACGAAAAAGTCATTAAAAAAAAAAACCAACATGTATTCCTCACGAAAGCAGTAGATTATTGATTTCTTGAGAAAGATTTGATAAAATCATCAATGCCAAAAAGAATGTCGTGGCCAGCCAAAGTTCATTTCTAACTGAGCTTTCAGAAACCTCATCAATGCTTGTGACCAGTGAGATAGCCCTTTAGTAGTAACATGCTAGTTTATTCAGTTGTATAACGTCCCATCTGCATAATGTGCAAGTTAGTTGCATTGTGTGTTTGCATCCTTGCTTTCTTAAGCTAATTTATACTATGCATTATCAATGTACATGAATATGATTAAAGCATTATGTCTTTCTGAATATGTATTTGATGGTGAAAGCAATCGTCACAGGTTCTGATAAATTCATTGGTGGCTCTGAATAAACTTGCGCTGGGATCTCGTTTTTTGATGGACAAACCATTACGTAAGCGTCTGTTGTATTGTGAGATTTAGGTGTTTATGTTGTTGTCTCCACTCTTTTCATTATATTGAATTTCCAACTCCTGCTGTTTCATCTATGTCTGCTCTGTATATTTCAAAAAGAGAAATTATATTCATATAATAATTTGTACAAATCAGAAAAAGATAAGAAAATAAACGTAACATTAGACAAATAATGTGACGAATATAAATAAAAAAGTACCATATATATTGTATAATTTTGTTGTATAAATATGATATTCTTTCCAAAAATTTGCCAGGGCATTAGTACTTAAATTTGTTGTGCATAAGGTGCAGGGTCAAGGACCATTCTCTACTCGTTATCTCCGATTAGCTACAGATTTTCACAAAGATACAAAGGGATACTCAGCTTCTACTTTCTCTCGACAATTATTCGTTGTGCAGCATATTTCAATATTCACAATCATCCTCCTTCATGCTTACAAGAAAAATTTTAAGCTCAAGTTTGCTATTGTGTTTTGACTGGTTATAAAATTACTTGATATGTTGGCTAATTGAAATTTTCATTCTATTGTAGCCGTGAATAGTGCAAGGCAACTGAGATAATTGTTTTAGGCCTCAACTGAGATAAGTGTTTGTTTTTAATGAATGAAGAATCTTTAAAACTCAATGATGATATTGTACATTATTACTAATTGAAAATTTTTAAGTATAGTTGTTTTTTTATTATTTATCCTACAAAATTGATAATTTTTTATGCAAATTTTATGGTTCCTTTTTTTTTTCCTTATCAATGATATTCTTTTGATGATTTTAATTTACTTTTAAAAATGAAGATATTAAAAAATATGTTAACAAAATATATTAAAACACCAATAATATAAAGATTAGTAATTTATATTACAATAAGTACCTCTATTAATTTTGTCTAAAGCTCCAATATTTTTAGATAGTCCTCAGTTAATATGGAAAGCTGTTAGTAAATGTATTTAAACTTAAAAATTGTTTATTGAGATGGATTTGCAGGTTCATACAAGGCTTTGGCATCCCTGCGGAAAACTGTTAATTAATATTCGTTTTGTGCTGATTAGTTTAACGTATAATGCGATAATTAACAAATTCCTATTTAAATAAAACGGTTTAATCTTATTCCTATAGGATTGATTTATCATAGAAAATGTAATTCGTTCTTTTGAAAGCAACCTTAAAGCGGTGTATGTTGACACCAATTTCGTTGGTAGGGTGCTGCCTAATTTCGATTCAATTTAGACTTTGAGCTAACAAATTGAAGGTTGTCCCATTGTACATGTTTGGAAGATTTTACAAGTGAATACATATACATATGTAGGTGAAATTTGGTTGTTCTATCTACCTGGGTTGGTGGATGGTAGAGAGCAGAGGAGATAGTATAAAAATACGTACGGCAACGGTATGTGTATGCATTTCGATCTAAATTCCTTTTTTTTTGTATGATAAATTTATGCCCCAAAATGTTGGAATTTGACAGAGCATCAGCACAATGCTCTGATACAAACAGCAAATTACATGTGACTATGAATGTCTTAAAATTGCATCATCTTCTGTCTCATTTTCTTCATCATCTCCATCAGACATTGATGAGTCATCGTCAGAATCCTGATACGCAGATGAACAATCATTTTTCAGTTGTTCATGTCACACTCAATTGGAATCAATGAATACAAACCATAATAATAAATACGTAGGAAATTTTAAAACCTGATGATGATGGTGACGCTTAATATTGTTATGAATGGCTCCGATCGTCCTAATAATTATGTACATGGGTATAATAATTCCACTGGCTCTTAGTAAAAAGACCTACAGAAAATACCCAAAGTTAGTTCAATGGTTCACAAAGCAAACATTATTGCTTTTTTCTTATTTGAAATATGGGAATCAAGTACATACCGTAAGAATTGTAAATGGATAATCTTCCATTCCATCTGTAAGGAGTGCAAAAATATGTCTTACAAGCAATATGAGAGTAAACTGCAAAAACAAAAGGCAACGAGTTATTTCAAGACATCCCAACATCACTATTTGCATTTTGAACTAAACTACTTTCTCAAGTTTGCTTAATTCCAAAATAAAATAAACTCTACCTTCTTAGTTCTTAATACAATTCTTCTTGAAACAATTTTTTTTAATCATCTTACTCACAAGATTAAAAAATATTGAATATTTTTTATGCATTTAAGATGTTAAATTTATTTATTTTTATTTAATGTTTTCTTAATAAAATGTTTGGAAAAATAATAGGGAGAGTAGTTGGAGGCTATAGCATTACTCTAATTTTAAATCCTCTCTTTAGTTTGTACTCAATACCTTTTTTGCAAAATTATGAATATTAATAAAAATAAATAAAAGTATTGGAAGATTCATTACTCATTTAAAAATACACAGCAAATTCCCAAGGCTCAACAAATCCTTTGTTTCCTTAAAGAAAAAAAAATCCTATGAAGGTCAATGAAATATAGCTCTCAAAGCCACGTGTTGGCAACCACGAGCAGTTGGCAATAATTGCAAACAACCTTGGAGTTTCTTACTCATTCATGTAAACATGTCCAAGTTTTTAAGTTCCAATTTGAGACCTATTAAACATAATTCAACAAAAGCAAGAACGTACGCCATTTGCAACGCACGCTGTTCAGTTGCCACTATGGAACAAAAAGAAAAGCGTAGGAGTTTGTCCAAGGACACTCCCCTTAATAAATCAAGAAAAAACAAAACAAAACAAAATAAAACGCTTGATATATTATCATTAAAAAAAACATTTTTGAAATTTTTTAATCTTCAACGAGTACTCTAAAAGGCTCACTAACACTAGTTTAAAAAATAAATAAAGAAAAATATAGATAATGCTTACAGCTAAAGCCAGGGATCGGCAGCAAGACGCGCTTCTATCTGCAGCATACGTGCATTCAGAGTAATTGTTTCCTTCAACTATACTCACTATTCTTCTGTTTAACGGTTCTTGCTCAATCCTTGAAATTTGCAGGCTATCCCTGTAGGAAAGATAAAATGCGTCAAGCTGGTAAAATTGAGTCTGTGTTAATTTTTTCTAATAAAAATGTTGCTCCTAAAAGATAAAAAGAAAATGACTTAAGAGGGAATAAACTATCATAACTTAGCTTAGTCAAGATGCGGCATTTTATAATTGTGAACTATTAAGGCTAAATAATCAGCTCAAGGCACACAAGTTCACTTTGATTGAATTGCACGCGGCAAAGTTGAGTCACTTACAGACATGTTGCAACCAAGAAAATTAAAATTGTGTTGAATTCAACATAAGCAAGCATGTGATTTACATATTCAACTATACGGAAAAATATGGAATGGGGGAATCACCTAATGGTCATTGCTGCATCAGCTATTTGAGATTTTTTTGGAGCTGCTGTGTATCCGGGTTCATATTGCTGAAAAAACAAGGAACACAAAACCAAAAAAAGCATCAATTTGTGCTCATCAAATATACTATGCCCATCTCTAATTAAAATATTGGAAGGGAACTTGTTTTATTATATAAACATTTAAAAATAAAATCCATAGACCCAAAAACGAATGGAAAAAGGGTTCATAGACAACTCCTTCCTCATTATTAACAAACAACGATTACTAGCATCAAGGAATTATTAATCTATTGAAACTTACTAAAACAAAATGAAAAAAACTTGTGCAGAGGAAAAATAAAAATTGGAAACCGAAGCTTCATACCTGAAGACATATTTCACAAGTTGTGTTTCCTTTCTCATTGCACCATGTCTGAATGCAATCTCTATGAGCAAACTGGACAACAAAACTATAATTGTGATGGGACAATTCTAGAAGGTACAATGGAAAAAATAAACCAATAATGGGCTAAGAAATTGTGGATTTACCTTAACTGTCCCAGAACAAGCACAAGGAGCTTCCAAGCTTTTGGAGCTCTCAAATTCTTCTTCATGACATATTCTACAGCGAGAAATCCCAGATAGTGATCTCAAATCCTCTACCAGCAATACAACTTGTTCCATGTTTCTTGCAACCACAGAGAACTCTGTCTCTCTTAAAACTTGAGCCATGGTTTTCAAATTCTGTCTTGTACTCTGTCCTCTCTCTCTAGAATCTGAACTTTATATACAAAATAAGTAACTCCGGATTTCCAACACTACCCTTCTATCATTGTTCATATAAATAAATAAATCTGTCAATATTCATGACCTTTTCTTTCCCTTTTCATATTTTTGAACTACCAAATGATATAATAATAATTGGTGTTTATTTTAAGTAAATATGTTTTAGAATATGTGTATAAGTTTATATTAATAATATGGTATTGTATACGACATACGTTATTGTTTTAATAATTTAAATAATACAATTATTATTTCTATGTATTTATTTATGGAAAGAATGATATGTGGATAACGAGCTGATTTGTGAATAAGGGTAGACCCCATAAAATTGGCAAAGAGAACTTGCAATGCTGGGTCAAACAAAACTTCCTTTTGGATTCCTTTGGAGGCCCGAAGCGTTTAATATAGTCAAAATTAAGAGAGAAAACCTATTAAAAAATTTAATATCTGTTCTAGAATTCCTTGCATAAATATAAAGAGAACGCGTCATGGACTGTGGCAAATGGGAGAAAAAAAGAGAGAAATAAAAAAAGTGTAATTTTCTGTCGTGCTTGATTTCTTTTAAATATTCTCACTTTTTTTTAAAATTTATGATTTAGTCAATTACATTAACTCACATTAATTTGCGTTAATTTTAGGTCTTTATTTTAAAGTTGAGTGTAACTAATATTTAATAAAATTAATCTTAAACCACTAAATATAGTTAAATTTAATTTAAACCATAAATCAACATTAAGATGTTACTTTCTTATTATAAAGTACACTTTTCAATTATAATTATTTTTGCTAAATCCTTTTGTAACGCAACGATTTTGGAGATAAAAGAAATTCATTTAATCTATCCTTTTGTAAGAAAAGCATGTGCGTCCCTTATTTTGTTCAATACGGAAAATTTTCTGTCCACTATCTTCACTAGAATTTTAAGGATTTTTCTTTTCATTACGTGGTTATTGTTCAATTTTCCTTTCTTTATGGTTAAATAATATATATATATATATATATATATAATCATATTTAAATAAAAGAAATATTTATAACTTCAATTTATAATTTAAAGTGTATTCACTTCACTTCAAAGTTTTTACAATTAAAAAAAACTTATTTTAAAGATTAAAAGAATGGTGACAAATATAATTAAGATTTGAGTAGAAGTGTTATTAATTTGTAGAATGAAGTGAAGATAATTTTTATGAAATAATTAAGAATGATTTTATTAAACTGTATTTAAAGTTTGTCGTGTGTAATTTTTTCTTGAATTAACAATGGTATGAATTGCGAGAAAATTTTTCTAAAGAAAGACGATTTCAAATACATATTTGACAGTGAATAAATTTTTTTAATGAATTAAAAATTCTCAAAAAAATAATTAAATGCCTTATAAAAATTATGAATCTCATTTGTTTAAATAATCACAGAAAAATGGAATTACAATATTGCATATCATGTATCAGTAAAATCACAATTGGGTCCACTGATGTGGAGGCAATGACAAATTTAATAATATACGAATATACATTCTTTAAAAAATTGATATTTATCAAACTTTAATGTATCAAGTTAAATTTTCTATAAAGTTAATATTATTTTTTGAAAAAAGAAAAACCAGTTTTTTTTTATAGAAAGTATATTATTAATGCAAAAGACACGAGGGTATTTTGGGATGGTAAAAAGTTGCTTTTGTAAAAAGTAAAACATGTAATAAGATAGATACCTTGTTCTCTGTCCCTCTTTTCGAAATTGCCCTTTCCAAGTTTTCAGATTTAAATATGGGACCTGCGATCCTTCCCCAACGGTAACAAAACAATCATCACAAACTGAAATTTGAAATCGTGGGTCCCACTTTTTTGATTAATTGAAACGCGTTCACCCAAATGCACATTCACCGTGATTCGGCGGGCCCTCCTTTCCATGCGAAAGCACTTACCAAAAAATATTATTTTTGTTTATGAAAATTAAATATGGATTTGCTCCCCTAATAAAATTGATTTCAAATTCGTTTGCTATGTAAATAATACAAATCTAGTTCCGCATGCTACTTTTTTCATATTAAACTGACGAATGTACTCGTGCTTCCTCTGGATCGATTTATCCAATAATTACGAGCAATCCTTGCCATTTGGAAGCTTCACAAGTGGAGGAAATAACCTTGCTACATTATTAAAGTGGCCCTTACTCATCCATACTAAAATCTTAATTTTAAGCTGTTAGCTAACCAGCAAATTAAACGCTAATCCTCCTGCCTCCTCCTGCTACTTGCTACCCACGATTTCACGAAGAGAATTTGAGATCATTAACGAAAATAAATATATGGGGTTGGAGAAAAGATAAAATTTAGACAAATTTTTTATAGTTTTACCATAAGTTCACAAATAAAATAATTGCAGGTGGATATATTTTTTAAGAAGTGTATAACATTTTTAAATTAGGAGGTTTGATATTAATTGGGAAAAAAACCATTTAACGATGGGAAAAGAATACTCACACCTCATCATTTGATTTGAAGAACTGATTATTAGGACAAAAATTTGAATTAAGTTTTATAATTATGGAAATTAATTATAAAGGTGTCGTTTGATGGTGGTGGGATTATTTTAAACCATGGTATTTGGTGGGGGTTGATAAGGAAGTTATTCGGTTAGATATATCAAGGAAATTCTATCCAAGTTGAGTTTGGTTTAAGCTATGGCTTATTATATTAACCCCAAAAAGTGCTCCGATTGAGAAGGGAGCAAAGCATTCATCCCCTGTGAATTTAACTGTTTTGATTATGAGTGAGAATTGGAAGGTATCCTAATTGAATATTGACGTCTTACCTTCAAAGTTCATGCAAATATCACTCAGGTTAAGGTCACAAAATATAGATGTAGGAAAAAATATAACTTTTCAGGTAAGGTGGACCATATATAACATAAGCATAATGCTCTTTAAAATAACACTTGGATATAACTCCCATTTCGAAAGGAGCATATAGGCTAATGTATCATAGTTTGATTGTTAATTGATGTCTGGGCTGGTGTTGGGTGCTTTCTCTCCCAATCATCCAAAACTTGAAGCAGCTTCATGTGGGTTAGGTCTCATTCAGTTGCTTTAGATTAATTGAATGTCCATTAGAAGCCATTTCTATTTGCCCGGGCTTCACGCACCATCATCATCTTCAGCCGTTGTTCCACTAGTGAAGAGTTTTTGACACGGAGATATCAAAGGAATCAAGGTAATTAATATTCCTTAAAGCCCAATTTTCTAACTAAAATTGAATCTCAAATCTCATTTCATTTCAACAACTGGTAAGTTCCCCAGCCCCAACCCTTCATTTCTCAAAGCCTTTTTGCTTAAGCTAATAATTAAATTTAATTTAAAAAATCTAAGTTAATAGTTCAAAAAACCAAATTAAGTAACTCAAAGATGCTCAGATTATCTGGTGGTTGCATTGTTCTTTCTCTTCCAACGTTTCTGGCATTTGATTGGTAGAAGTTCCATGTTTAGGTGTACATATTGGTAGCAATGCAACTATCAACGAATATTTGACACCACACTCCCAAGGAATACCTGTTTGTATTATTAATTATTATTTTCCAAACAGAAAAACCAGGTTACACTATTTAAGTTACTGTTTATTGACAAATCATATATGGTGAGCAAGTCCTCTCTATCCGGATAAGAACAGCAATAAATAATAAGGATCAGCTTAAATTACATTGTGTCGTCCATGCATTGAAAAAAAAGCAGATACTATATAATGATCATTCTATAATTCCTTTTTATTCTTTATTTTTTTAATATTATCTTCTTTGTTTCTTTGTTTCAAAGAAGGGTAACTTCCGCAAGCAAAATTAATTGGGGTGATTGTCCATTTTGATGGGTTTAGATTCTCCCAATTCATTAAGCAGACAAGAAAATATGGTTCTTTCTCACTGAAATAGACACCGCCGTCCCACTCAAGTTGACAGACAAATACGCATAAGACAATGGCAGACGGCAGAATTGTATGCATAATTACGTTGTATTGACTATTGAGCCACATATATACAAAGAAAACGACTATTTAATAAGGATAATTGAACTAATTTCTTTTGAAGAAAATATTAATTATACTTATGTTTTATTTTAAATTATATTTAATTTTCTTACATTATTATTTTAAAAAATACTATGTGTAAGAATCAAATATATATAAAAAAGATGTATATAATTTTTTTTAAATAACGATTATCTAACATACAATAATAACATAAGAAAACTAAAAGAGAAAAAGTATAATTTTCAAGCAAATAAATATAAATATAATTAATGTTAACTTCAGGATAAATGGAAATAATTAATAAGTATGTTCAATATATAAAAGGAATCTTCACAAATAATGTGAATGAATGTTTTTTTTTAGTCTTAGATCACGACATATATTAAAGTCTAAAGACTCAATATTAATATTTGCTCACAATTTATAGTTGTTGTTGATTAAAAAAAATTATACACACGGTGAAATATAGGATAAAAAAACACATGCAAGATCTCCTGGTGAATTTTTGTTTGAATAACACACTTATTTTTAAAGATATATTAATAATTACGATTGAGTGCAATAACAAACAACTTGTATTTTTAAAAGGAGAATTATTATTTAAATAACAAAAAATGTATTTATTAAAAGACTAAACCTTTCACGACGAGTTACTGATATGACAATGATGCAGAGGAGAGTTTTTGTTATCTGGTTTGTGAGCATGAGCATGACACCATTGGTTCTTTATTTTTCTGCATCTTAGCCAACATTATTCAGATATTTGTATTCCCATGCCAAAACAAACAGATATTTGTGTTGAAAATCTCCTTTTTTCTATTTTCTTTTACAACAAATGAAAAATACATTATCCAACAAAAATATATAATTAAAATTAACATATATCAATTATATTTATCAATTAAAATTATTTTTTATTAAAATTAATTATATTCAATTCTAAATGAAATAGACATAAAAGATATTAATTGATTGATTATTGTAGATTAAATTGTATGGATAAAATTTATAAAAAAACATCTTGTGATATCTTTTCAATTATTTTTGTAAAATTAAACATTAATTTAGCCATTAATGCATTTTTTTACAAGTATAAATAAATAAAAATGTTTGTCCACAATTCAGAGAGATAGGGTCCAAGTGAAAGTTACTCCTAGGATATTTCAGAGAATGTTGAAGAGAGAGAGAGAGAGAGAGACTAATATATTTTAATAGTCTCCGAAAGATATTTACAAGATATTTTCAACACATTTTTTAAAATTTTCTTTTATCATTAGATAAATTTAATTAAATAATTAATAAAAATTTATTAAAAAATAATATTTCTGTAACTTTTATTTAACAGTATAAGTAATTTATATTATAAATTTGATTATAAACTTTATTAATATAAATTAAAAAAATATAAAAGTGACAAATTATTTGCATAAATTTTATAAAAAAGTGAATGCAATCATAACTTTAATACATAATTTTTCAGTAATTAATATCAATTTAATATATAGGTGTCGTGCTGATTTGATTATTTGACAATGACATTCAGCTGCAGTTTGAAAACAAGGATAAAGGAACAATGGGTACTGTTTGTTTACATGGTTCAGAAGAATCCACGGGTTTATAATACCAGTTGGAATTATCCTAGGATCAAGTACATGATTGAGCTTCTACAAATATATAATCCCAGTTGCTTCCGTGATCTGTTATTGAAAATTCTGGAGGCATGGAAAAGAGAGAGCAAAAGATTGTAGTGGCTATAGATGAGAGCAAAGAGAGCATGTATGCTCTGTCATGGTGTATCACAAATCTCATTTCCGACACCACCAACAAGCTTCTGCTTCTTTATGTTCGTCCACCCTCTGCTTTCTACTCATTGGATGCTGCAGGTTTCACTTTATCACTCTTGTTATTTTATTTTTATACATTTTTTAATTCTTCCTTTAATTAGACTAAAGTTTGTAACCGTGGTATGATATTTTACAGGGTATATATTTTCCACTGACGTTGTTGATGCTATGGAGAAGTATAATATGCACTTGGCTAATTCTGTCATGGAGAGAGCCGAAGCTATTTTCAGAAACTTGAACGCTACTGATGTAGGCCACCTTATCTTAGTCCCTTTCTTCTATTTTTCATTCTTTGAAATTGAATGTGCGGGACTGACTAGGAATTTGCAGATCAATATTGAGAGGGTTGTTGGTATAGGAGATGCCAAGGATGTAATATGCAGCGCAGTGAAGAAATTAGAAGCTGATACCTTGGTCATGGGAAGTCATGGCTATGGATTCTTTAAGAGGTAACTTTAACAGAGTTTTGATTTTTATTTCTGAAGTTGAGTCTGGATATGTTAATTGGAAAGGTTAAAAATTTAAAATTTTGTTAGATATAAGATTTTAGTTTTAAGAAAACATAAATCAAATTTTCGATTTTTTTTGTAAATACGTACAAATTTGGAAGATTAAATTTTTAGGATCAATATTAATGTAATTAAAAAAAGCTTACAAGTCATGTTACAGTATAAAATGAAGTATGTAATAATAGAACTATGATTTGGAGGCAGCTGTTATATATGAAAAGAAGTATGTAATAATTGAACTATAGCTAAATTGCTTTCTTCGTTCCAACACGCAGGGCACTCCTTGGAAGTGTGAGTGATCATTGTGCCAAGCATGCAGAATGTCCTGTTGTAATCGTGAAGCACCCATAAGAGAATTAAGTACCATTTTATCATATCTCTTTCTCACTGATGTTCTGCTGATTTGCTTTTCGTATGATCTTCTTTCTTAGTGGTTGATTCTCAAGAAGCATGTTCGAGGGCATAGTTTCACCAGTTACATGCACCCTGTTGTTGCCTTGCCTACTATTTGTGTATCTTGCATTTTGTATATATAAAGTAGAAAAAAAATTACAATTGCTCAGTGCTTTGAGGAGTTGATAAAGTAGTCCTTGGTTACATATTTTCCACGGTGCGTAATCGATTTATTCAATTGGTTAAGAAAAAATAGTAGAAATGAACTAAAGTGTGAGAATGATAGAACTTGAACTCTTTCAATAATTTATATACAAGGGATCAGAATCTATGAAGTAATGCCAATTAATAAACAAAGTGTCTGTAAAGTAAATCAAACTCATCTCCCTACAATGCAAATGCATGATATCAGAAGCTTCACAACCCACCGAAAAACCGAAGCCGCACTGTTTCTTATAAGCACACACAAGTCCAGATATTGCTGATTTGGTGGAAGCACATATTCATATAATTTAACGATTTCCTTCATTTTGGACACTTCCCTTATCTTTGGAGACTCACACAGGCTCGTACCATTCGAAAGCAATTTGTACCAAATAGAGAACATTACAAATATTTTAGTAGTTGTGAAATAAGAGAGGATTTATGAAGTGAAGAGATAACATGCCCAAGGGAAATGGGACAAATTTTCACTAGCTCATGTATAATAAACAAGCACTAGGTGTTCCTAATTGGCTGCTGATGATGAGTAAACAACCTAATTCCGTAAATCAACAGATATAAACTAGATTTGCTGGATAAGCATTGAGCTTGAGAAGACCTTTGAAATTTTATGATTGCTATCTAGCCAGATATATACAAGGTTGAATTTCACTCTGAGATCAAATCCAGTCCAACATAAATCAATTTTAAAAGTCAGTTGAAAGATTACACAACAATTCTGTATTTTATTCTCTAAAATATATCTCCCAATTTATATGAGCTAATCACTCATGGATTAAAATATAAACTTGATTCTTTACTGAAATTTCTTCCGATTCAACTCTGCGATGGAATCAAACAAAGTGAACTTGAGGGATACCAACAGGCAGCATAGTGCCACCACAGTTGAGTATTCTTTGGAATTTGGATTTTATCCATTTTGGAAAGCAGTACTTGTCAACTAGGGATCCTTTACTCATATACTTATTCATCAGACATATTCAGGAATCTAAAAGCAATATAATATGATTACTTTGACTTGTGTTTTTTCTCCTTAAATAACTTCAAAAATATTGCAATTTTTACCCCAAAAAATACTTTAGATCGTGTAATGCTATATTACGTGGGATTGTGTCAACATAAATAATTCAATATTTGCGTGGACCACAGACGGAAAATCAACTTAGTCTCAGTCAAAAAAGCGTGTCACTCTTATTTAGTGTGATGTAATTCATGTGCATTATTAGGTGAGAAAAATGTAAACAATTTATATTTTAAAAAAATATGAGTTATTGTACTTTAATAAATAAGGAAAAACATCATCAGAAGACTAATTACTCATTAGGTAGTACTTTCACTCTCTTCTGCCACCTATCGTTTTTTAATTTTAGTTTTGAAAAGTATTTACTTTTGAATAAAAAATCATTATCTAATTAGTGAATTAACATTTAATTAAGACAAAATGAAACAAATAAAAAATTCAAGAATTATTAATAGTCAAAATTATGGGTTAAGATATGACGCTCGAAACTTGAAAAAGGGATATTTATTAGACATACAATTAATAAATGTCTAAAATTAATTATTATAATATTACCATATTATATATACATACATCAAAGTAAGTTTCTATCTTTATTTTACAGTTATAAAAATTAATTTTCAATTTTGACTTTAATTTTGTTTATTGCTTAGCACTTTTCTCCCTAATTATTAAATATGTTATTCAATTATTATTCATATAATTAAATAGGGAGCATATTTACGGAAAATACTTTTTAAATATGAGAATGAAGAAAAAGAGTAAATCTTGACTATACAATCATACTATTTATTTATATTTTTATTTAATTTTTTAATGCAAAACAAAAGATATTTTTTTAGACACATTAAACACATTTTTCCACGTTTAATATAATTTTACATTATAAAGTCAATATCATGACAATTTAAAATTAAATATTAAATAATTTAATGATTACATAATTTTTTAATAAAATTGCTACCAATACTTATATTTTAGTTTTATATAATTAAAGTTTTCAAAGAAAAATTAATTTATGTAATTTTTAAGCATAAAAAAGATATTAAATTTTTGAGAATAATATATGAAACAATATATATAAATTTATCTTTTCAAACAAAGAGTAATATTTAGGATAATAAACACTGGCTCTCAGTAAATGAAACAGTTTTTCTTTGCAAAAAATTAATTTTTATAATATACATTTAAAGACAAATAATAATTTTTACTATGTACTATCTTTTAATAGAATGACGGCACTACTTCTACTTGGAAGATGAAGGGGGAAAAAACGAGTTGGGTGCGCTTTTTGTTTTACTGATGAAAGCTGGCAAAGCCAAAGTGGCGAATAACCAAACTCTCACGTCATTCCAAAATCGCGTCCTTTGCACAGTCCTTTGACTCAACTTTACCTCGTCACTTGTGTGCTATATAAACCCTCACACATACCCTTCCAATCGCACACATCAACCATAACCACCACCTTCATATATATAATATCCTCTTTGATTCACGTCACGCACATGGGCAACACTGCTTCTCATTCTTGTTTCTCTCTTTGTATTGGTCGGACACAGAAGAGTAGTGGTGGAAGTAGAAAAACGGCGACGCTTTTGGACACACGAGGCAACGTTAGGGAGATCAAGTTACCTGTGAGATCCGGGGAGCTCATGATCGAAGAACTCGGCCACGTCATCACGCCCGTCGAGGATCTCCGCCGAACACGGCGGATTTCGGCCTTACCGGCCGATCAGGAGCTTGTGGCTGGGAAGGTTTACCTGGTGGCACCGGCAAGCAGGCTCCACTGCAAGGCTTCGGAGTTTGAGATGGCGATTGCGGAAAGAAAAAAGAAAAATTGGAATATGACGAGCAAGGTTTCGCCGTTTAGTGGAACTGACGGAGAAATTGAGGTTTGCAGTTTCCCAGAAAAAGGGAAACTTGTCGGAATACACTGTCATCATTTACCGACCCAACGACGATGGAACCCTGTTCTCCACACTATTCTAGAATCACCCTGAGATTCATTTCACCCGTCAATTCTAATCTAACACTCCAACTTACATTTCGTTTTTTTTTTCCCTTCATTTTAATCTTGTACGCTAAAATGGATGAAATTCATTGCGTAGGAAGGTAGATGAGGAAACAATCGTTCTTATTGCCAAATTTTTCCCTTTCACAAATTTTGTAGTCGACAGAAGACACTTAAATTACTTGTGTTTCGATGAAATATAATGAGTCTAAAACAATGTTATTAAATTTTGCCTTCCTCCTTATCTCCATCGAAGCACTAGATCAAAATTTAATTTACGAGTGATTTTGATTAAATAGATCGGTTTAATTGGATACACATATTATTGTCAAATTTGCCAGTTGATTTGTAAACTCATTCGGGTTTGTATGATTCTAATCTGAAAAAGCATATGGTAACTCACAATATACAGCAAACGTACGTTCAACTAAATACAACATATATAGCTTATGAGTTAACGTGAAAATAGAACGTGGAAATCGCGCACACACACAAGCTAATGCCAAGAACAGAAACAAGGTCCCAAAATGCCTAAACAGCGCCGTTGTGTGGGGATTTCTCTAATTTTTCCTTCTATTCGGTGTTTTTTTCTGTCCACTTTATGACACTTCTGTCATATGCCTTTTTCATAATGAGCTCTTACATCACTCTTTTGCATCTGCTAATTGCTACCTACTCCAACCAGCCTCTATTGATTAGCCTCCAAAATTGGTTAACTGACATTGATATAGATCAAATTTCGTTTTAGTTAAGGTGTAAAAGGTTAAATAAGGATAAGAAATATGCTGGTTGTATGGTAAGTTTGTACAATTTTTGTGTACAAATCAAAAAGAGAATAAAGAAAATTATATAATAAAGTATATTACGTGACGAAAAGAGTTGGATAATATTTTATATTATAAAAACATACAGTAACGATAATATAACTCATAGAATGATTGCGAGTAAAATAGAAAACAAAGTACTAAGACACAAACCAAGAGTAGAAGAGTCTGGTTATTGGAAGGAAGCATTAGAGAAATCTTTCTGGCACACTATTTCTTCATCATCCACTGTTGAAGGGACTGTTCATGCAATGACGGGTTTAAGACAACCAGAAAACACTTGTGCCATTTCATTTTTATTTAAAAAAAAGAGGAAATTTATTTAAATTATAAAAATAACATGGTTATTAAAATATTGTTTTACTTATTTAAAAAAGTAATTAAGCCTTGTATAATAAAAATTTGTTGAATAAATATTTAATAAGTTTATTTGAACTATATATCAGCCCAATTCTCACATGGACACAAGTCACATCTCTTATAAGCTATTTTACAAGTTAAAAACTCGTTGACCAAAAAAATATAATACAAGTTTAAAACTCAAATGTAAATATGTAAACACTTTATGACCTCTAATTAAATATACTCTGGATATTAAAAACATAACTAGAAGCCTAGACAATGCGTGACTTGTTCCTTCAGAAACTCTTAATTTTGAAAGACTTCCAATTTAATATATAACTTATTCTTAAAAGAATTTATTGTTGACAACTTTAGTCTTCATAAAATAATTAGTCTTGCACATGTAAAGGGTTTAAAGAGTCATATTTTTCACATAAATTTTTTCAGGTACTTTAAAATAGTCTTTTTTTTTTTTTTTTTGGTCTTTTCCTGTCAAATGATTTGGATACAATAAATAGTGTGTAAGGGTTAAAGGGTTTAAACTAAATTTTGATGTGAACTTTATGTTTCAGATTGTGTATGTTACTTCATATAAAATGTAAAAGTTAGATGTCGCGTTTCAAGAAGATAAAAATTCTCATTTTTAATTTCGTCAAAAGCAAATAATAACCATCGTTAAAACTGCACGCGTCATGTGATATAGCCAAATTAATTATGAAATGGACATTTATTTAAACATAATTTATTTTTAAATGTTAAATTGACAGTCAGCATGAGCATATCACTTTGATCTAATTAAGATTCAGTTGAATTGATCACAGTAATGGTTTAAACCAATTAATAATGAAATTATTTTTTAATATTTTTATATTTCATAAAATAATTTAAATTTTATCCTATTAATTGCATGAATTTGAAATGTAATTTTATGACGTCACTTGATTGGAGCAATTAGTTTAAATGGTTATAATCCATCCAGAAAATTTTTCAGTGTTCTTAGAATACATACTCCTTTTTTATATAATATCTACTTACGAATGGATTTTTTTTTATCTATTTCTTTAAATTAAAAAATGTAGTTCAAATCTTATATTAAAGACTAAAATCATATAATCAGTGTAATTTTTAAAGTTTAAATATAATCGTATTTTTAGTGACAAAAATACATTTAAACCTTATAATTCATTATGTTAGGATGAGTATAAGTAGAGTTGCAGACAAACAAAAATTAAATGCGTGATAAATAGACACGTTGATAATACATATAGATTAGAGATAAGTCAATTAACTAAAAAAAAGAGTCTTTTTCTAAATTTATGTTGTAAATCTTTATGATTCATTGACCAACGAAATCTAAATATCACCGTAATCTTATCTTCTTCTTCTTCTTTTCTTTTAATTTTTCTTATCTAACTATTGTCTATTATTACGATTTGCGCGTTAAGTTTGCCTTGAATTATGGCACATATCTGGTGCTTCCATCCAGGAGGTCAAGGTCATGACCAAACTCATTCCTCATAATTCACGTCGTTGATGGCTCATCAGATTAATTATAGCGTACAACATAGGGTATCCATTTTAATAGATGCTGTGCACGCATGTACGTTAGCTGTTGACTACTACCTCTCGACAGAAAAAGGTTACAAGGTTGCAATTATAGTACCCGCAAGCAACAAAAACTTCATTTTAATAAAGTAGAACGTCACTAGCATTAGAAGGTAACACAATCTGAAAGAGAGAGAATTTGGAGTGCTCAATAAAATTTTACTACATCACATACCTGTTCACACACCACACCCCCAATAATCTTATCCAGTTAGTAAATGAGTTACATCTCAATATATGTTTCTTTCTTTTCATTGTAAATTGACTCCTGATAGAACAAATCTAATTGGGTATCCATCAGTTTTAACACTTGTTTAATATAAAAATATATTTTATTAAAAACAGGTCAAATATACATATTTTAAGTAGATTTAATTTTTAAAATTAATTTAATGAAACTTTAAATTAAATGTTGTTTAACTTTTAAGGTCTTGCTAACTAATATCTTCAGGATATTCATTAAAAAATGATATTTTTAAATTACACAAAATTAAGTTAAAAATATAAAAATTCTACTGCTAAATACATAAATTATTTTAATTTAACGTGTAATCTTGAATTTAAATTTGTGTGGCTTGTTATGTTTTTTAATTAAAAAAAATAGAATGGCGAATTAGCATTTGGCTAACTTTGATGTCAATCCGAATCGCCATCCCCGGCTAGAATTAACAGTGTGGCATTGATTCTTTTAAGGAAATAAATAAATGTGGCAGACATCCTATGCCCCAAGTCAAAGTCTGAAGTAACGTTGTAACTGACATAAAAGTTAACGACTCAGCTAAATCCAAACTACCGAGTCCCCCATTATGTGCGTCACAAGATGGTGCGGTTTAACAAACATCAAAAAGCCTGTTACGTACTTTTCCAAACCCCAATATAACACAACTCAAACCCAAGCTTCTTTTTATAGTTCCACTCAGTTCAAAATCACATTTTACTCACAAAAAGTCTCAGATGGGAAACCAAATCTCACTTCGTCCTTCAGACACCACAGGCAAAATAGTTTTCTGGGATGGGTCGGTTCAGCAATTTGAGCAACCGCTAACGGTGGCAGAGGTGATGTTGGAGCACCCAGAACAAGTAGTTGTTGAGTTCAATGCAGCAGTGAAACAGAAAAGGCCAATTCCATTACCTGCTGACAAGAAGCTAGAGATGAACAAAGTGTATTTGATGCTTCCAGTGAGGCGAGGGAAGCCCCTTGGTTTGAGCGGCGAAGAAAGTAGACGCATTCTCTTGATGGTTAATTCTGCTTTGCAATCAAAGTATCTTGTGTGCTCTCCAAGGTTTCTTCCTTGGCTTACACGTCTATGCCAAACCACTACCATTGTGGAGCCTCAGAGAAAGGAAGAGGAAATGGGCAAGAAGGAAGAGAGGTGCGATTTTTCTGAGTTTTTGCCTGAATTGTTAGAAGGAAGACCAGAGTATTTGAATAGGCAATTATCAGGGAAAGGGTGGAAACCTAGCTTGGACACCATTAAGGAGAAGCATATTGAGAAAAAGCTCACTCACTGGTTGTTCCTCAAGAATTTTTAGTTCTACTTATCTTAATTATGGTTATTAAATCGGTGAAGATGTTTTGGCTTTGTGTGGGCTTTATACGTAACAACGTAAAAACAGAGTTGTGGTAGTGGCATGCCTGTTGAATGCATGTATATCATAGGTAAAAGATTCTCGTTTTATTCAGAGCAGTCATATCTTTACACTCACCTCATATTTATTCTCTATTTTTTCTTTCTTTCTTTTTCAATATTTCTCTTTGTTTTCTGTTACATTATATTATTTATATATATATATAGGTTCTCTCTTTCCCTGTCCAAATCGCACCTCATTCTATGGGTGTCAAGAAAACACTTCAGTGATTGGATAGTAAAGACTGTAAAGCTGCCCGAACGAAATCGCGCACTAATTTCTTCAGTTTGTTCATTTTCGCTACTTTAGTTGTTTTTATAACGTATCTTTAATTAAATTATATAGATTGATAAAAATAATTAAAATTAATTTTCTTGACTATTTTAACAAAATTATACTTTATCTTTATTTGATACCGTCAAATTTAATCTCGATCACTTTCTGCATTTTAATTTTAAAATTCACTTTTTTCTTGCTATTTTCAAAATAATAGCTTATAATATGAACTAGACAGAGTAAAGTGTAATTTAACAGACTCAAAAGCTTCCAGCGGAAATCGCGCTTCCCTTAGTTGTAACTCACTTACATTATAACTTTATATTGCCTCACCTAAGCTAGGCTTGTGTTCTATTTGGTATCGATAGTGTTTTCTGCAGTTATTTACTCCCATACTTCATGGCCATAGAAAGGAATGGTACCATTGTAGGGACGAGATTCCACCTAAATAAAGTAGTTCAGCTTGTAGCACCCATGTTAGATATAACAAAAAGAAAAGTCAACCCACAACTCTTAGTTCATACTTGTGCCCATATTCTCTCTTCTTTTTAACTTTTAATTTATGTTTCAATTGATAAATAAAACTAAATTATGTTATATTTTGTTATTAATGAATTTTCTATCACACTAATTTAAGGGATATGAGATAAAATTAACCCCCTTTTTTTTGTAAAAATATTCAAATATACAATATAGGTTAAATATTTAAGAGTACGTACAAAATTTGTATGTAAATTCTTTTTTTTAAAAAATAAATTTATCATTGAACTCGGAGCACAGCTCAACAACAAAAGAAAGGGAGGAGAAAGCTCCAATGTTCAAGCATTATGTTCTTCATCATCTTCAAATTGTTTGAGTAACTCATGATATGTTGATTATGATGAATTTAACTTGCTTCGTATTGTATTATAGTTATCTTCATTAACTGTTCATGATTAATTTGCTAGAGGCTTACAATACTTCTAAGGGACATCTATGTTAATTAAAATTGAAGAAATCGAAAACCTCTTAATTGTCTTGTATATTAACTTGTAAGTATCCTCCTCTCCTCTATACCTACTTTAATTTCTTATTATTATAATATTTATTTCCCACCATTCTTGTTTGAACTAATGAAGTAATCTCTCCTTGTAAGTGCATTCTCCCGTACTTGAACTCTTCGTTCTACCTCCATGAAGCAAGGTAGTTTACCCACAAGTTGCAGGGTTTTAATTTGTTCTCATATATTGTTGTCAATGTTATTAATTTCTTTTTGAATTTAATATTAATATACTAGCAGTGTTAAAAAAAAAGTATAATGTATTAACATTAAAAAAAAGGTTAACCCTCCTACACAAACAATTAATCATTAGATAATGCAAGATTCAGTGATAGCATATTCTTTTCCCATTAAAAATACATCAAACTTACTTCATAATTTATCTGATAGTGCGAGCATGATTGAGTGCAATTTTATTTTTTTTTACTTTGACTCTTTATAAAAAATTTAAACAATTTTAATATTTATTTAGATGGTATGTCTTTATAGTTGTTTATTTTATCGTCCGAATAATACCTATAACAATATAATTTGGACAAAAAAATATCACGAATTCTTATTTAATCTCATGCTTTATAAAAATTATAATGTAATAGTTATATATATTTTTCTCATATAATATCCTCAATAAGTCTTTTATTTATTTTTCTATCCAGTAATTTTTTCCTCACTTTTTCGTCCCTTTACATATTATTAATTTTTCATATAATTTTGTATTTCTATTGTCGCATGAGCACCTAACAAACAAAATAAAATGAAGACAAGCATAAAATTTACATAAAAAGAAAAGGTATATATTTTTAAAGAAACAGGAGATAAAAAAAAATCATCATATTTATGTGTAAGAGAGCTTATGTAAATTTTTTTGCCATGTTTCAACCATTACAAGCGACTAAGTTCCCTGTCACGAAACCATTTGCCACTTTCTCTATGGAGATTAGTTATGTGTCTCTTGGAAGCATAATAAAACTTCATTCTCCCTGTGATGTGTGACATGTGTCGACGCTCAACCCTTGATCGAGACTCTCTGAAGTGAATACAGTTCACCCAACTTGCTCAACTGATCCATATTTTCAAGTATACTTTGAAAATTCCATGCTATTATGATCATCCCCAAACTACAGGTTGATAGCTCAACCATTTGTTGTTATCTTTAGTTTTGTATTCATCTTAAGCATCAGAAAAACTAACTCATATTAATGATTATAGATAAATAAGCTAATCTATCTTTGATTTTGGTCCTCAATTATATATTTTTTTTAAAAAATTAATTATAAATGAAAAGTCTAACTTCACTTGTAATTAAAGAATGCTAAATAATAAGAATATTATTTTAATGCACAATATAAATAAATAAATAAATGTGTATATATATTACCTATTACACATGCTTAAAACTAAATATAAATTAATTTTATGAACTTTAAAATAACAAAATAAAAATTATATCATTCTTCTTTAACAAATAATCCAACAACAAAAAATTATCCGAGTTACATATGACTAATTGATTTGAGATAGTGATGTTGAATTTGACATTGTGGTGTGGTGGAGCTCAAGCAGCTTCAACAAAATTTGACTGTAAAGAAGAAAGGAGTCAGTAATTTAAAATAAATAAATAAATAAATAAAGCTACAGAAAGAAAAAAAGGAAAAGTAAAAAAAAAAACTCTAAAGAGAGAAGAAAACTTACTAGATAAAAAAATTATAAAAAAAAAAGAAAGAGAAAAACCTTAAGAGTTTTGAGAAAAGGTGAGGTGTTTCTTTTTTTAATCATTATAGGAGCTTCTTTCTTTTTTTGTCGGGGTAACTGGAATGAGCTTCCCTAGTAGTTTAGCTTACTTTGATAGCCCAATTCTATAAGCAAGACCTACCTACTACATACCAAACATGTTAGCCCAAAATCTCCAACATTTGAGAGAAACTGTTTATTCTGGTCCAATGGTGGAAGCTGTTCAACGACAAGTCGACGAGACCCGACAAGAGTGTGCTTAACGTGTACTTCAAGTTGCTGTTTTCATTCAAAATTATTAAAATTGTATGAAAGACAAAGTAATTCGAACCAATAAAACATAAGATTAAGTCAAATTTTAACTCCTAGAAAAGTCTTGAAATGAAATTGATGCTTGTAGTTGTAGAAAAGGAACCTTCAAAACCTTAAAATTTTATAGTTCTATAAATATAGTAAAATCCAATTTAAGATTTTTTTAAAATATTAATTTTTGTCTTTATAATTATATTATTTTAAGTAGTACTCTTACTACTTATTAATGACATAATATGCACATGCTACTTTTTAAATAGTCCCTGACATTATATGATATAACTAAATATGCATGTCAACTAGAAATAGATTTTATAAGAAAAATTATGCAGACTAAAACTATTTAAAATAAAATAAAATAAAAACTAATCATAATCACATTAACTAAAAGCATAGTTTAAGTAAAGTATGAATAAATGCTGTATTATTGATTGAATTTCATGCATGTCCAATTCATATTTATTAAGTCTCATTTTTTAGTATTAAGTTTCTTAACTAGGTTGTGAATCCATGCTTATTATCGATGTGAAGAAATTATAGAAATGATAATCCAGAAAGATGCATGAATATATATATATGTGTGTGTGTGACTACAACTGTACACAGACGCAACCTGAACCTGCCCTTCCCAATCTCAAAAGCCACAGTGAAGAGGATCCATATAACTTGCTTTGCTTCATTAATTCTCATCAATGAGACGTCCACATCCAACATATTACAATTAGGTATAAGCTATCCCATGTCAACTATGCCACCCCAAAATCAGTCACCTCATTATTTCCAAACCACCACCACGCCCCTCTCTCCTCTTGATGACGTGAAGAGGAATAAGGGAGTGAAATTATAATCAACAAGGTTGTGTTTGGAACTATTAGAAATAAAAATAATTTGAGCTGATTTGCAAATTAATTTTCATCCTGTTTTTTTGTTATAAGTTTTCAATCTTTACAAATCAAAGTTTATGTTTCACGTACACAAAAGAAGAATCAAATTAGTTTCGTACAAGTATTTTATTTTATTACTCTTATAATAAGTTGAGTGACTTTATTAATAAAATTAAAAGTGCCAAATTTCAATAAATAAAATTTAAATAAAAAATTGAGTAAAATATTCATCTTTACACATGTAAAAATAAATAAATAAATTCTTATGCTATAATTATATCTTATATGGTGCATCAAAGTTATGTCTTATCAAAATTACAGCTGTGCTATTGGTCATTTCAATATTTCAACCATTTTGCTTAAATTTGAAGCTCTGGGTATGTTAATATATACTTAAAGTGATTATGATTGCAGCTGCAAAAGGAGAAGTGGAACATAGAGCACGTGCTGAGGAGTCCACAATGTGCTCTGAGTATGGGCTGGCAACCTCACTTTGCCATATCATCTATCTGATCAACACATAACAGGAAGAAGTATAATGGTCGTCCCAAAAGACAAAATAAATAATGCCAAAACACAGCCACCCTGTAATAATAAGAGAATTTTTTCTGATTCTTTTCTCAGGAACCTGGAACATGGCTTATAATGCACTTCTTAAACTATATATTTGATTCTTTGTAAGATGCACTTGTTCTGAGTCACTCCTTTCTTTCTAATTTTCTAGGACAAAAA